CTACGCCATGGATGGCTCCCAACAAAACCCTCAACATGCACAAGCTCAGCAGGCCAACCGTTTCTTCTGCCGAGTCTCCGTCCCTGCTTACTTGAAGTCGCATTCCCCTGTGCAGATGATGTACCAGCAGCACTGCGCTGCTGCTGGCCAGTGCAACGGTGGCCAGTGTGCGGCCGCTGCCCAGTGTGCTGCCGGGCAGTGCGGCGCCTGCCAGGGCGCATGCCCGGCGGGCGCATGCCAAGGTGGCGTGGAGCTTGGCTATGCCTTTGGGGTGTACTGCCGGGGTTTCGGAACATGTCACGAAGTTGCTAACCAGCACACGGCCAAAGCCCGTTCCGAAGCTACCTACGAAGGGCATTCAACTCATGGAATCATAGATTGCATCCATGCATCTGCATCCTTTCACATGCCTTCGCCTTCACGTCCCGTTTTGACCATCCTGAACGAACTAGCGTGAGGTGGATGTTGTCAGGGCTGCAACGCCTGTGGGGGCGGCTGCCCTGCCGCCGCCGGTTGCAGCGGTTGTGCAGGCGGATGCCCTGGCAACTGCGGTGGCTACGTGGTGTCGATGCCTGGGATGCAAGGGGTGCCCCCTGCAAGTTTGTGAGTTCCTGCAACCGAGAGCATGAATCACAGGATTGGGAAGAGTGCCTTCCTTGCAGCTTCAGAAAGCCCAGAGATGCCAGATGATGATGCCCGGGCAGATGAACATGGCCGGCCAACAGCCTGCCTCCTGAAACTGCAGAGATCTTTAGCGTCGGCGCATTGCTGGCATTGCGGTGCTGCCGTGCTGCTGCAAGGCCTGGCCAGGGTCATCCGGGCATGCAGTTCGTGATGGTGCCAGGGCAAGGCCAGGCCTCTCCCGAGCAAGAGCCGGTGCTGCGCTGTTCGTGCATGGAGGCGGTGCTGCTGGGCAGATGCAGCACGCCATGCAAGGACTGGAGCCGTGTTGTTAGCGTCTGGCACCAGCGACGCTTCAGAGAAGTGCTTTCTTTGTGGAGGCATGCCTGGACAGATGCAGGGCCAGATGCAGCAGATGCAAGGCCAGCAGAACCTTCTCTGGACGTCCTCCATCTGTTGCAACGTGAATCGTCCTCCCTGCGTCGTCCGTTGTGGGGAGGTGTGCAAGGCGGCATGCCTCCTCAGCAGATGCAAGGCCCACACGGAAACCCGCAGAGTGCAAAGGTCATTCGAAGCCTTGAGTGCTTGGCAGGACACGTGGGGCCGGATGGCCACCCAATGGCTCAGCCGACGCCAGGCCCGGCCTTTTGGCCTGGCCAAAGCGGAAGCGGTGAGAGCCCGGTGTCGCCAGGCCAGTGCGGGCAGATGGCGCTGCCGGACCAGGGCAAAGGAGGCTGCCAAGGTGCTTCGTCTCTGGAGTGCATCCCGATGTCGGATCTGCCTACTTCCGGGTCTCGGGTCTCGGGCCCTTGTGTCTTCAGGTCCACCTCAAGACGCAGGGGACGGCAAAGGAGGCCGGGGCCCGGGCGACCCCCTCATCAAACATACTTCTGTAGCAGAGATAGTGCTGATGAAGACGATCTATATAGGACAGGAGGATGAGGACGAGGATGAGGATGACGAGGATGATGAGAATGACGATGAAGATGGCGATGGCAATGACACAGGATGATGCGGGCGGGTCCGGCCTAGTGGTCCCTTTGATCGCCTGGTGGGTATCCTTCCAGGTCGCGTGGCAGCGGGCCTTGGCCGCAACACGCAGCCAAAGCAAGGAGCCAACTGGTGCGCCTGCCGCGGTTAGCTCCGGGACAGTGGTAACCCTTTCTCCTGTTGGATGATCGAAAGCCATGTGAAGACTGAGTGCTATTACATCTTCCATTGAGCTCTCAGATCGACTGTGCCGTGTATTTCTAGGTGAGGTGTTGGCATTGGCTGCCTAAGTTGCTGCTCTTGCAGGCAGCAGGGTGCAGGGCGCGGTGCGGGCCGTTCCGGGGACGCACGGTGGCTGTCCTAGAGCTGGTGTTTTTGTCCATGCATCCGCTCCTACTCCCACTCTCCCTACTTGCCTCTCTGCTTAGCTTTCTCCTGCCTCTGCTGTGCTCGCAGGCCCTTTGAGCCGAACCATCAGGCGCCGCGACGCGACGCGATGCGCCGAGCTGGGCGACGCGCTGCGCTCTCGGGCGAGCGGAGAGACCGAGCGCAGAGCGCGTTCTGCAGGAAGCGCCCGCGGTTCCTGGAGAGCAAGGCCTGGGCTTGGGCCTGGGTCCTTTTGGCCTCTGCTCCTCTGTGCCTGTGCTCCTGCTCTGGGAGGCAAAGGCGGCCAAGCTGGTCAGAACCCACAGGTGCCTTGCAAGCGGGCCTTGAAAGGCCTGGGGAAGCCCTCAGAGCGGTGAGAGTGTCTGAGCTCAGGATGGCAATCAGAAGGGCAACAAACTCCGCAATCCGAAGAACCCCTGGGCCGACATCCAGGCGCGGAGCGAACCTGTGCGGACCTGTGCGGAGCGATGCTCTTCACGGCTCTTGGCCTTGCCAGGACTCCGTCGGCTTAGACCAGGACTGCGTGTGAGCGCTTGGGCTTCCCTGGCTTCCTTACTGGGGTATCTGAGGGTGGGGTCCCTGAGAGCCGTCACGATGAGGAGATGAATCAGCTGTGGGACATCAATATGAGGTTGGGGATCTGCAAGGATGCAGGGTCCATTGCTTGCACCTATCGTCGTTGTAGCGGAGGCCCGGCCAGATGCCCTCCATGGACACGAATCAGAAGGCTGGCATGGACGAGGGATGCGAGCTTCGTGTTCGTCAGCCTGCTCTTGCTTCTTCACTTAGGCTGGAAACTTCAATGGTCCAAGCAAAGGCAAGGGCAAGAAGGCCTCAAACGCGGTCTTCAAAGTTGTTGGCGAGCGAGCCCTTGAGTCTTTGAACTCCGTATCAGGACGGCAAGGACGGCGGGAAGCACAACAACGATGACAACATGGGAGGCACAGGGCTTTGGGAGCTGCACAGAACGACTGTTGATTGGTGCTATCCAGGCGGAAAGGGTGGCAAGGCCTGATCTTCTGGCTGAGGATCTTGTCGCTAGATTCAGATGCAGTGCGGCTCCAGTCAGGACATGCCGCAGCAGAAGTGGGTCGAGAAAACGGACCCGCAGGGCAAGGGCCAAAGAGGCGCGGGCAATCAAGCAATTGCTCGGAGGTTACACCTTTTTTTCGTTTTCAAAGCCGAGCTCTCTGAGGCGGCTGGCAGCCCAAGGATGTCATGAAGCAGCAAGCGATGCCGCATGCCAGAAACTGCTGAACGAAAGCCGTCCTAGCGTCCTGCTGTTTGGAACTCCCAGTCGCAGTCGTACAGGTTGTTCTTGAAATGTGGGCGCTCCCCCCTCTCTCTCTCTCTTTCTCTCTCTCTCTCGCTCTCTCTCTCTCCCTCCTCTCTTTCTCTCCCTCTCGTTCCTTTCAGTTCTTGAGCCTTGCAGGCAGCAGGTCCCGATGTCGCCGGGCGGGAAGAGCAACAGCAAAGGCACGGCACACGTTGCCTTTTGGAGGCTTCCTCCCAAATGCAAAGCCAGAGCTGCAGGTGGTGGCTATCAGCAGCCGCTGATGGGCCGGGGCATGGGGGCCCCTCAAAACCCGATGCTCGCCCAAAGCCCGGGCCAGCAGCCGAGTGCGGCCAAGTTGGAGTCGCCCCTGAAAGGTAGTCTCATTGGGCCGTCATACTGTAGACATGGACTGAACGAAAATCGTCTGAAATTGACAGTGACGGGCACTTGTGGCTAGAGTCCCAGGCCCCAAAAAGAACAAGAAGGGTGTTGGCCGAGATCCGGAGATGGACGACTGGCTGTCAGCTCCTGAGAGATTGCACAAGACCTCCGCAAGATGTCACTGGCTCTCCGCTTTCTCTCCGCTTTCTCTTCGCTTTCTCTGCTCAGGAGCCTCCGCTTTCAAGGCCAAATTCCGGCGACCCCCACAGGCCCCGCTCGGCCGGCCGCGCTTCGGAGAGGGGGGGGGGCACCTTCTTGCTGCCGCTGCGAGGATCCACGAACATGGGAGGAGAGGAGATGTGGGACGAAGAGGAGGAAAGGCGCGGAACTCGGCTTGCAGTGGCGTCTCCAGATCCGTCGATCGGCTTCTACCTCTAAGGCGGAAGCGAAAAGGAGCCGGCAAGCAAGGTGGGCCGCTCATTTTCTCGTCTCCTCAATAAGCCGAGAGGATGCTTGGTGACGAGATGTGCCCTGCAAAACAGGTGGTGGCAAAGGGCAGGCCAAGGGCAAGGCTCCGGATTCATTGAAAACGGCTCAGGAGGTTATGGGCTTTGCATGTTCTCCTCTTGCGTCCCAAGCTGCCGACAACATGTCCTCATGTGTGCACAACATGTGTGCCCAACGGCAGGGTGGCAACGGCAAAGGCAAGGCCAAAGGCGGCAAAGGCCGCTTGTCCGCGAATAAGCGGGGCTGACTACGTACCTCTGATTGCAGCTCTCGTCTCTGCTGGGCACTGGGCTTTCGTCGGTTCCTCGCAGGTGGAGGCAGCTGGCAGCGCGCAAGCGGATGAAAAAACCACGCCCGGGCCGCCGAGAAGAAGAGAGAACAGGTAAACTTCTCCCTCTCTCATGAGGTCACGTCCGGTCTTCGTGAAGTTTAGATTTTTCAAGCTTTCGACTGTCGTGTGAGCTCACCTCAGGTCTTACCACCGCCTACAGCTTGAATTCGTTGGCAGCATGCTTGAGAGACAAGACAGTCAGTTTACTAAGCTGTGGCGAGAAGCACTCAGCACTAGGTGGCGATTGCCGCACTGGCACTGTGCGACTTGTGTCTCAAGAGCTGCCATCAGACCCACCTACTCGCCATTTGATCGCTGGAGTTCCCATAGTGTCTTGCATTGTATTTCATCAAGGGAGATGAGTGACGTGGGGGACTTGGTATGACTTTGTCGTCTCAGTGTGAACTCTCATTTGTCGATAGCTTCTGGCCGGCTCATGGCGCCGATCTGCACCTCTGTGACGTGAGTCCTGCTATATGCATCTTCTTCAAGCGTGATCATCCTTCGATTTCCCCCTTTCTCGGGGTGGGGCATGGTCGAGAGGGCATCTAGGACTCACGTCATGAGCAGATTCGTCAGCGGCCGGCCCTGCTTGCGAAATCGCCTTGGGAATGGCCATTCGTCATGTTCAGAGATCCTCATTGTTGTAGCAGTCCTGTCAGAGAATGGGCGCAAGGCATTGACCATGAATTCCCGAGGAGGTCTCGTGTGAAACGGCTCCTCCCTGCAGTTGGAACTGTGTACCTAGAAGGCAAGATGTGCGAGCCTTGGCCTAGCGAAACTTGAGCTTGCAGTACTATCTATGATTTCGAGAGATACATGTGCCACCGATATATGCAAGTGGGATCCTCAATTCATGTTATGAGTGGGTCGTATGGCCGAGGATTGCCGCCTATCACCCGCTGACAGGTCTCCGACCTTGGCAGCTCGTGTAACGGTCACTTGTTTCTAAAGTCTAGCAATCAACAGAGCATTTTGTTTGGAGCAAGCACCAGGAACTCTCCTCATTACCCGTTTTGTAGTGACCTGCAGACGAGTACAGTCTTGGCGCACGTTGTCATTGTGCATAACCACATGAGAGCTACGTAAGCTAGAAGCGGAAGCCAGATACCGATTCTGATGCGGGCAAATGTGGAAGTGGAGGGGAGAGGTAGACGAGGCCAGTATGCAGAAGGGATGGAGAGGCGGATCATCGTCAGAAGTAGTGGACCTGCTTGAAACCACCTTTCCGAAGCCGCAGAAGCGGCAGCGCTTCCGGGCTGCCGGGTCCAACTTTACGGGATGACCTGTCTGGTCGAGATGACACCAAGGCTGCAGACGAGCTTTCCCGCGTTTTTAGGGCTCGAAAACCGGTTGTAGAAGCTGCTTCACAGCCCCAAGATGCAGATTTCAAGAGTGCTGATCTGACTTGTGTTGGTGGAACTGCTCGATTTTTCTTAGCTTTCAACCTCACTTGACGCAGTGAGCTATGATTTGTTTCTTCGCGGAAATGCACCGGAGGGCCAAGAGGAACTCTTGGCATCTCCAACATTGTGCGGGTCGAGCCCCAAAACCAAGCAGAACTCATACAATGTACACATGGCCCTGGACCCCAAACTGCTTTCGTACGTCCTTGCAGTTTGTTACCCACAAAGATCGCATGCCCATCCCCGTCCCGTCCCTGCCTCACCTTTGGAGAGTCAGGCTTCTGGCAAAAAAAAAGGACGCCTCGTTGCGTAAGTTGCGTGGCATCAGGGTCGAATAGGCCGCTTTTGGAGCTCTCTGAAACGGAGCTGCGAGGCTCTGAGTGCGAGCCGAGTGCTCGACGGCTGAAGCTTCTCCAAACCGTTGGTAGCAATAGACTTCTGTAGTACTCTTTATGGGAGTCTAGTCACTAGCCACTCCAGTCTCCACGTCACGTTGAGACTTCCCAGGTACAAGGGAGTCGTTTCGGAACGATTGAGAAGCAGGACTTCTCAAGGACTTGAGGAGCTTTAGCCTTCCAGGGGTGCGGGTACCCAAAGTGGGACCGAGCTTCCCGAACTCATGTTTCAACACGATCCGGCGCCAGCCTCAGAGACTCCTGCGCCGACATCTCCTGCTCGTATCGGTGAGCTAAGGAGGGTCAAACTCGGAGAAGCTGCACCTGCCAGCGCTCCCTCAGATTCAGGCCCTTGGGGGGTGCCGGCGGATGCCGATATTCGAAGCTCTCTGACAGTCCCTTGAGGCCCGTCCTCTTGACCGCCCTATGCTTCCTGTGCAGCCAGGACGGCGAAACAACGGAAATCTCATTGCTTTCGAAGTGTGTGCACTTAAAACGAGAGGTGGCCTTCCAGCTGTGTGGCACCGACCGGCCAGGGCTCAGGCTCAGGCGGCTCAGGCGAGGCACGGGTGAGGGGCGGTGAGGGGCGGAACGCAGACTTGAGCCGGCAAGGCTCCCAGCCGCAGCCACTGCCTTGAACGGCCTGGAGGCCTGGCGTCAGTGCAGAAATGCTTCGGAAAGAATCTGCAACTTTCGTTTGGGGCATCTGTCCTTGATGCTCCTACGTCCTAGCAGCTGGTCAGATCGGCGATGCAGTCACAGCCACCGTCGTGTCTGTCGGCGACACATGGGCGCGGAGCTCACGCTTCCGATCCCGACCTGGGAAGGCTTCGTGCGGCCCATACCTGAGGTGGATGCAGACGTCGAGGGCGCCGGGCGCGGCAGGACCAGTGAGAGTGAGAGGGTCTTGCGGGCAATGGCTTGGAATGATCCGCCTTGTGCTTGAGAGGATGCACAAGTCCGACCTGACCACGCTGCGCATTCGGCATGCCAGGGAGGTGGGCGGCAGATTGAGTGACCGCTAGCGGCTAAGCATGCAGTTCGCAAGTTGCCTTGGCACTGTCACAAGTCAACATCATCAGCTGCGCAGCACGGCTGAAGCAAGCCTCATGAGAAAATCGCCACACGCCGGATTTCAGGTGCTCGGTCGGGTTCGTGCCAACTGCTGCTTGTGGTGTACCGTGATCTTTTCATGCGAATGGGTTCAGGTCATGTGGCTTTGAGAGAATGGTGGGGGCGGAATGCTGTCTTTGCTCACAATCCGAAAGGGTTGTGCCGACAGCTTGCAAGTCTGGTCTAAGAGTCTAAGATCTTCGAACTGCATTTTGCGCGGTCGCCCCAAGCGCAGGTGGTCAAGGTCGGCGACGTTGTGAAGTGTTTCGTGAAGCAGCTCAAGCCCGGTCCTTACACATCCAGGTACTCGCCGAGGCCGTTGCTGGCAATCCCGCATGCCTGCACGTGCGTGCCAGGCAAGATCGCCCCGTGCTGACGATGCAGGCATCGGAGCTTTGCCAAGTGGTGGCTGGACGGATCCGATCGCAGGACGTCTTCGCCAACCGCACGCGCCTCTCGGAGCTGCAGTGCCTCGGCCGTGATGTGACGTGACATCAAGCAGGGTAGCCGCCGTGCGGATCCGTGCTGATGTGCTGCGCGCATCGCGGAGGCCAGGGCTGGCCTGCGACGCGAAGGCGGGCCCTGGCCCAAGCGGCGCTGCGACATGCGGCGGTCCATCTTATCCTTACGATCCTTAGGGACTATAGGGCCTTAGTGCCTTAGTGCCTTAGGGTCCGTATACGTCTCTGTCTTCGTCTTCCTTCCGCCAGGTGGTGCACGTGAACAAGCACATCGGTGCCTTTGTGGACGTCGGAGCCGTGACGTCGGCGTCGGCCCCGGTGAGGGTCCGGTCAATCCTAGGCTGTGGGGGAGTCCTTTTCTGGCCCCGTGTGGTTTTGAAGCTGAAGCTCCTAGGCGCTGGTCCCACGAAACGATTTCGAAGGCTGGACAGAGGGCGCAAAGTATGCGGCTCGGCTTCTGCTGTGAGTCTCTTACGTCTAGTGCCAGAGCTTGGTGCAGCCTCGTCCGGCTAGCGGTGTTTCGGTTCAGTGGCTTTCAGCAGTCATGATCGGCGTGGTGGACTCGTGGGAGCAGCTTTGCCCCAAGACGAAGGGGAAGAAGACCAAGGCCAAGAAGGAGAAAGAGCAGAAGCCGGTGATCCACCAGGCCTCAGCGCAACGGACGCGAAAGAAGCTGCAAGCGGGCCCTTCAGCCCTTCAAGTGGCTACGGCGGAACCCGAAGTCGAGCCCGAAACCGACACAAACTGGGCCTGGGTCTCTGCCTGGGCGCCTCCACCTTCGGCCGAGCTCGAGCTGGACTTCTTCGCCGTGCCCAAAGATCGCGCGGAGCTCAGCGATCTCAGGGAGTGGAGCTCCCAAGAGCACCTCCCCGCGGCCTGAGGTGATGGAGACGCCGTCTGGGAATTCCAGGTGCTGGGTGCTTTTCTCTGGCCTCGCATGTGCCAATGTTTCCCCCTTCCTGTACACCAGGTGGGCCCACAACCCAACGTCAAAGAGTGCATCGAAGTTCCAGTCGAAGTTCCAAAGGTCAAAGCAACCGACTGGACCGTACCTCGGAAAGAGCCGGAGTCAATTTATGTATTCTGTGGTTTTAGTGGTTTGCGGCTCGGGGCGTTTTGCCGGGAATGAGGGGGACCCTTTACGCAGGTGCAGGAAAGCTGGGAAGACATGTGCGACTCCGACGCTGGCAGCACAGCCGACGAGTGCGAACAGCTAGACTCCCTGCCGTCGACGACGCACTCATCGCCTGCATATGGACATGTCCCAGAACCGAAGGCTCTCGTCGCACCCCCCTGGCTCCTCGGCACTTCACGCCGACGAAGGCCCCTGCAGAAGGAAGTCCCATGACCTACACCAAGGCAGAGTGAGAGAAGCCGTCTTTCCCGCGTCTTTCCGCTGAGCACAAGCTTAAAGGCTCCGGGGACGGTGTGTGGCTCCAATTGGCATGGGAATTCGCAGCTGCACATAGGCAGAGGTGAAGTACATGCTCCTTGCATCTTTGGACTGTTTAGACAGAGTGACCCCTTTCAAGAGTTTCCGGTTCCCGCAGCCCGAACGAGAGGTCTGTGACAGAAATGCAGCTTTCTATTTCCGGCGGTGCCGCCACCAAACATGCCAGGAAAGACGATCGCATGAAGATAGATACTTCTGGCCAGGACGAGCAGTCATCCTAGAATGGACTTTTGCACGAAAGAACAGCAGTCATCGCATCGCTTTCGGGTATGTACCAGGGCAGACAAGGAGCGCTGATGTCATTGTAAATATTTGCCCAAGGCCCTCTTTGAAACATTTGAAGCTTAAGCAACATTGTGGAATTCACGCTGTCACGAAATCAGTGGAGCCTAGGAGGTCCAGGACTGTTCCACGACGGGCTTGCCAACGGTTCCCTGATTTCCCATCCAGTTTCCGTTGGGGCTGCAGCGAATGTGAGAGGTGTTCAGATGTGGAGGATGTTTCTATGCAGCCCCAAAGATGAGACGTGAAAGATGAAGTTGGGCCTGTAGCTTTGACGCCGCCCGCCGCATAAATCGAAGGAACAGAAAGGTGTGTTCGCAACAGCTTCCCCCAACGTCCGCTCCCGCGCCGAATCGGACATAGCTCAGGTCGCGGACCATGGAGCGGACGCGGCAGCCCTGGCGAGACGAGGCGCCGTGTTCTCTCCTGTCCTTTTCCTCAGTGAGGCTGCCGGAAGGCACGACGGTCAGAGTCGAGGTGACAAAGGCCTGGCAGAATTCAGAAAAAAACTCTTCCGAAGCGGTCTCTTCCCTGCAAGATGCCAGGTGGACACGAGCAAAGGTCACATCACTGCCAAGCTCTTGCCCGACAGCACGGAAGCTCTGACGGACTGACACTCGCCAACGGCCAAAAGGATGCTCAGCCTTGGCCTTGAACTGAAGAGACGCTTTGTCTTGAGCAAGCCAGGCGCGCCGAATCGGAGAGTCACGCAGTCAGAAGCGGGCGCACGACTGCCTCCAATCTCAAGCCGAGTCACCACAAGCAGTTGATTCATCGCTTCAGAGCTTGGATTAGAGTTTAGAGCAGAGAGGAAGTGGATTTCGAATATTCACCCCAAGCTTGCTTGGCTGAGTCCTGACAGGAACGACCATCCGTGAAGTAAAAACCAGAGGGACAAGAAGCACGCATTCCGGCAGAGTAGGTCCTTGCCACGACAGGATTTAGGTGCACACTGACAAGCTCTCCAACCACAACCTCAGTCAGTGTGCTTCCACCGTTTTACCGTTTTCACAGCCCAAATCCTCCAAAATAGTGATCGCGTGGGAATCACAATTCTAACACTTTTTGAGGCTCAACTCTACCGAAATGGTGATTACCCCGCCTGTTTGGGGAGGGCGTGCGGGAATGTTCGAAACAAGCTCTCCCCCTCCAGTAAGCGGGGGCGACACGCGGGAATCACCATGTTGCCTTTTTCACAGCCCAAATCCTTCAAAATAGTGATTCCCCCGGAAGACGTGCGAATCACCAATTTAATTTAGCACCGTTAAGGCTCAAGTCTTCCAGAAATAGCGGTGGTAGGAAAGCATCCAAAGCAAACAAGAATGCAGAGCTAACCAAAATTCAAAAGACATCCAAAAAAACGCAGCAGAACACTTGCCCAAAGCGCGACCACGAGAACGGCAACGTTCCATAGAAGGTAAAGATGAAGTGCATTGAAGCCACTAGGGTTTCCAGTCCGACGAACGTAACAAAGAAGATCAGCACAACACAATGGCAACCAAAAGAAGCCGAATGTTTTTTATTTATTTGCGGTGTTTCTTCGCGCGGTGTGATTTGCTGCTTTTCTCTGTCCTTGTGTCACTTCTTTGTGACAATTTGAAGCTTCACGAACTTGTTGCCCTGTCCCGCCAGCTTTGGAATCCTAACTTTATTGCAACACAAAATGAATGTTAGGCCTTTCCATGCCAGCCACGCATGTCCTGGCTTTAACCATCGCAAACGAGGTTTTCCATCATAGAATTAAAGTGAACATTTTGGAGGTGTATAGAAAGTGCTTCTTGTGTACACAATGCACCTGTTTCCTGTAGATGTAGTACCTTGAAGACTTACTTCACATTTTACCCGTTAGACTCCTAAAGATTAATGGAATGGAATACGTGCCTAAATTTTAATCCAAACAGAACAAATTTTATAAAACAAAGGCAGGTGAGCGAAGCAAACACGTGCTTCATTGTTCTGTAATTTGCACTTTTTTTGCTCGCATTCTCATTATCATACTTCTCCTTCAGTTTAGCTTTTGCTTTTGGTTGGTACGTGTGTTGAATTTGAGAAGTGAAAACAATCGGAGCGAGCACCACGCGCTACATTTTCATAGTTGGTTATTTTGGAAGTGCTGTGGGTCATTTCTCATAAGCGAAACTAGTGCAAGCGCATGCTTTGCATTCACTGTGTTTAGTCCTTTCTCTTGCTTGTTTCGCTTAATGAATAAATAGACCACAGGCCGCCTCGCGACATGCGACAGCAGAGAGCAGAGCCCCAAGAAAGCAGCAAAAGCAGCTCGGCTGTCATGGCGGATCCGGGCGCGATGCTGGCGCCGGATTTAAGGCGCGACACCGACGCGGGGGTGTTGCAAGGCTCTGTCCAAGGTCGGGCTTCGTTTCTTCACTTTCCCTTTGTATGAACGATGCGAAGTACTGCCCTCACAGGGACGAGTCGTACACGCTCGAATATTCGGGAGATGGTGAAGAATGGTGAAGACATGCACGAGAACATGCATGAGTTAAAGTACCCCAAAGGCTCGAGCCGCGGTGGGGCACACAAAGACGCGTCAGGAAGAGGATCGAGATCATGGCGGATCACATCGCAAGGCAGAGCGCTCCCCCGGTGGCATTTTGCAGAGCACATGCAACTGATTGTTCTTCTGTTTCAGGAATGGCCTTGACTTTGAGACAACGGTCAAGCAGAAAAACGCGAGCAATCCGCAGCGACCCTGACCGGATTCTCCTTGGATGGATTGCAGGATTTATCACGATTGTGTAGTGCCGCTGTGGCAGGTTCTCGTTCTTGTACAGCGGTGAGGGCGCTGAGTACTACCAGCAGGTGGTGGCAGGGTAGTGACTGTGCACTGGTCCAAAGACGCACATTGCGCTGCACTCGGATCGGAAGGTCCTCGCCAGGCATCGAGGGACCCAGGCGGACGAGCTTGTGTGGACTCACCACCCCTTCACATAACCCCAAAAGAGACATGGCACGCTTCCAGGGAGCCCTGCAGTCGGAGCAGGTACCGGCAGCGGCACCGCCTGTGCCTCCAGCGGCACAGCCTGCGCCGGTGCTTGCGCCGACGAATCCGCGGCCGCCCACGCCGCCTGCACCCATGCCGCAGACAACTGGGCACATGGCGATGGCTGGGATGGGAGTGCAGCTGGGCGCTCCGAGTGCTCCCACAGCGGGCAGCCTGGCGACGCTCCTGCGAGGAGGGCAGGTGCGGCGTGTTCAAGTGCTGTCTCTCTCTCTCTCTCTGTGTTTCTCTTTTGCCCTCTATGCCTGAGAGAGCTCGAGCCGAAGCGAAGACAGAGGTTGCAGATGCAGTTCCGTTCGGGGTGCTCGGCAGGTTCAGGGAGCCCCGCCCGTGGAGCTGGCCGCACGGTTCTCGGTCGTCCGCGCCGTCAGCGCCAGTTTCTTGCTCCCGCACGCTGAGGATGTCCTGCGGCGATGGAAGGAGCCACAGGTGCTGGCGCTTACCCCGGAGGCCCGAGACGGGATGACAAGGGAGACCTCTGTGAGAAGGACAGCGAAAGCAGGTCGAGCGGCAGCTTCACGGAGTCCTGGCCTCCCTTGAGCTGCTCGGCTCCTCGCGTGGTCTCGTCTTGATACTGCCTCCACTCATGATACCTCTGCTTGAAGGCACATGGCTTCCCGGGATGCCATCAAGAGTGGTCGGCTTTGGATCGAATGTAACAGTGCCAGAGCCCTCATGGATGCTTGCCGCATGAGATCCTGTAAGCTTGTGGCGGTGAGGCCCTGGCGCCGCATATTGCCGGCCACATCATGGTCCGCGTGTCTTTTCTGTCAACTTGTTCTCACAGGCGCATGTGGCGGCGAAGATGTAGCTTGTTTGTTGCAATCGCTTCTTCACACGGCTTTTTGGAGGCTACACGTGTTGTACCTCGTGCACGACCTTCTGCAGACAGAAGCCGCCCGCAAGGAGCGTTGTTCGATACAACAGCGGCCTCGGCATCCTTCCCCGAACATCCCCAAACCCCTCTTGCTTCCTTGCTTCGGGAGAGGATGCTCATGCTCCTCTGGTCCGGGCATTCAAGCATGGCGCTTGCATGGATCCGATCGATGCAACAGAGATCGAAGCTGCCGGTCTCAGGCCCTACCTGCCGTGGATCCTGCGCCCATGCTACCAGCTGGCCCGACCCCCACACGCTCGGTGCCTCGCAGAGCGTCGCTCCGAATCCCAATCCGGCCCTAAGGCGCTGCAGTCGCCTCAAGGAGACGAAACTTCGAGGCCTTGGAGGGCCACGGCAGAGCCTTAAGTTAACCTCTGCTTTCGTGGTCTCTTTCATACAGCATTGCAAGCATCAGCAACAGAAGCGACAAGCTAGTTTGGCCACGGAGAACCAGAACAGCAGCTGTCAAGCCTCGCGCGGATAAAAGCAGAGAATTTAAAGACCTGCTTGCATAAAGCCTGAAGGCTCCGACTTCTGCATCTTCGTACAAACTGACCCAAACTGCCTGCAAGCCTCTGCAGGGTGCTCCGTCTCGTGCAGCTCTGGGTGGATCGTGGCATCCTCTCTGCGCAGGAGGCGCCCGTGGGCTAAATCGTGCAAATCCCGTTTGCATAGAAAACATGCATGTGGCCATGCTGTGGATCAGCTCGGCGAAATTTCTTGAACGGGTTCGGACGTGACATGACGTGACCATGGTCACCCGTCGTGTCGGGGGTGGTCAGCACCATCTGTGATGATCGCTCGTCCGTGGCTCTTGCAGCCTCTTCGGACGCGAATCGTCGCTGACATTGCTGGATACTGAGGCCCCGCACGCGGTCCACAAAGCATGCTTAAAAACAGATTTTGAAGGTGTTACACTTGGGTGGGCTGTTGGTGCTTACAGGAATGCGCCATGGCTGACGCAGCCATGGAATTAGTTAGAGTCATTTTGCACCAATGGCGGCCGCCGGCAGCTTGTTTATCCGGAGTCTTCAAAGGCTCCAAGCCATCGCACTGAATCGCGCCCGAAACCGTTCTGTGGATTTCAAAGTGAATCATTCTCTGGAGCATGCTGCACTCTGTTGGCAGCCTCCTCGCACATTCAAACGGACAGCGCGGATTAGCCTCCGCTCCGGTTGCCCCATGCCCAGTCTCGCGCCCGGCCCGCGCGGCCGTAGCGGTCTTCACCCTTCCAGGCCCAGGCTTGCTTCTGAGGGCTGTACCCGCCATAGCCATAGCCATCTTTGCCCTGCCACTGCCATCCCGATCTGATCCAATCGGTATCCTCTTCGAGTATGTCCTGGCCCTTCTGGCGCAGCGGCCCCCAGCCGGATTGCAGGCGCTAGAAGGCCACGCCCTGCACCTTCACCTGGGCACTCCATGACTCGCCATCGTAGAGCTTCCATTCTTCTGGCCATCCTTGCGGGCTCAGCTCGCAGAACGACACTCGTGGCCTTGACCTGAACAGCTTTCTTCACAACTTCATCCTCCCAGCGGTCTCGGCCATCCCGGGGTTGTTGGGCTTCCAATTGGCCCAAAGATCCTCGGTCGCATTGCCGGCCTCCGGCTCCTCCAATTTGGTTGGGGTGAGCTCCGTCTAGGCACCTTCCACGCTTTGCGCAGCGGCACCGGTGCCCGAACGGCTGCCCCACCTGCTCCATCTGTCTGTGGAGTTGGAGCGCTTGGAGTCTCCCGAGCGAACGATCCGGGGGCCATGGCGGCTACGGCCCTCAAAAACAGTGGGCCTGGAAGGATGGCTACGGCGGCACTGGCGCGGAGGCTGATCCGCTGGTCTTTGAAAGTCTGCGCCGGGAGGCTGCCAACAGAGTGCAGCGTGCTCCAGACATCTCCAGACAATGAAATCATTTTGAACTTTGTATTGCACAGATCACAGGGAGCCTTTGAAGACGCCGGATGGAAAAGCTGCCGCCAGTTTATAGCATGCATCTCCTCACAGCAGCCACTGCGACAGTTCGGACAGATGGTGGAGCATGTGTAAAGTTGAGATAGCCGTCTGGTCGATGTTACAACCAGCTAATTACTTAGTTACTTCATCTGTGGAGTGGTGATGAATACGGAGCTGTGTTGCACCGGTCCTCAGCTTTTCAGGCCGAGGAGGTGAAAGCCATCACGCCTCTCGGAGAGCAGAAGTTGCCTTTTTGCGGACCCACTCGCAGGTGACCCATCTCGCTCTGCTCAGGATGACCCAGGAGCTGCCTGGTGTCCAGCCTCCCGTCGCGCAGGCCGCCGCTGCAGCGCTGCGGCTCGCAGCTCAGAGGCTTTGTTCTTCCATGCAAAGGCGTGCAAACATCCCTCTGCCTCTAATCCAAATCTGAAATTTCCGTTCTGAGTGGGCCCTCGCTAAGGCCCATCACGTCGGTGCCGGCTCCGCCTCTGCCTGGAATGGCAGGCCGACGGCCTGGAATGCCCAGCGTCAGAGTCAGCGTGAGAGTGACCCTGTCGGAGCCCGAGCCGCCGGAAGGCGCATTGCGGCCGATGCACGGCGTGGCGCCGTGCATGGCTCCTTTCGCGGCGCCGGCCCGCTTGGCTTCTTGCCACCTCCTGTCCTCTGCAGTGTGCACCTGAAGATGTTGACCTTTGCATTGGGAAGTCCGAAGCTCCAATCTGACACTGGAACAAAGCTCGGTTTCAGCAGCCTTTGCCATGCGATCTTCCGAGGGCTGTTTCTGACCCGTCGAAAAGACAAGCAGTTGAGAGAATCAATTGTGGGATGCAGCTGCTGCATAGGTAGATCGATCCGTTTGCCCGAAACACCAGGCAGGGGTGGCCATGCCGGCAGTGTGGCAGACCTAGTCTTCGACTGTCTTGGGGTGGTCTCGCCCTCTGGAGAGCTCTCCAGATGTCTTGTAAGGCCCATGCTACACGGCTACCAGAAGCAGGCGCGAGCTGTTGGTGCAGAGCCCCGCAGGTCCCTAGCAAGGCCTACTCTACAATCTGCTTGGATGTTGAAAGCTCCCGGGCCCTCCCCTCCCGACTTTCCCAGGCCCAAGAAGCGGTTTCTCCTTCGCAGGTCCTGGCTGGACTGCAGCACACCGGCATGCAGACGCCAATCCCTGAAAGCAAACGTCCTGCCTGCACCGAGCATGCCGGCACTGAGTGTGTGTAGTCGAAAAATTTTCGGTGGGGAATTGAGGGCTTTGTGGTGAAAAGAGCGGAAGAAGATGGTTCGTGAGGGTTGACCTTGTGCCCGAGGCCGGAGACGGTCCCGGTGGGCGTCCTGGCATCCATGTTGGCTGGGGGCTCGTGGGTTCTGAATGGGTTCTGTCACTTGAGCATCCAGTTCCTTTCGTTGCTGAAAGCTGGGAGTTGGAGAGTGGCTCTTCTCGGCTGGGAGGCCGGCGTCAGTCAGGCTCAGGGTGGTAGGCTCGTGAGGCCAGAAAGCACTTGTTCCTGCGAGCCGCATGGCCTGTCAACACGCGCAAGAGCGGAGATCTTTCGGCCAGCTGGCATCTGTGCTTGCCCGTAGGTACAAGCCGCTGGATCCAGCAGCGAGCTGAGTCGCACCGGCACGCGGCATCAGGGGCCTTGCGCTCCGCCAGCCCGAGGCCATGACTCCGCAGGCGTTGCCGGCGATGGAGGCACGGAAAAATCTCGGCGGGCGGGAGAAGAGAGGGGTCTCGAAGAGCCGAAGGTTCCCACACCGCAGCTGCTGGCCAAAGTGGAGGAATTCTACGAGGACCTGCAGGACGAGGCGGGCGCTCAGATGCGGAGACCTTGTCTATAGGGGAATGCGCGCCTCGCGACCGCGGATGCTTCAAGTCTGCACCTTCAACTGTGCAGAGAGAAGACATGCAGGACCGTCGTTCCAGCAGTTCCTCGAGCTCCTCTCGGTCTCGGTCACGCGAGTCGGGGCCTCAAAGCTGCGCTGCGCCTTACCGCAACGCCGCGCCTTTGATTTTGATGCCGCCTCGCCCGTGGAGGCGGGAGCGAGAGTCGCGGCACCTGGGAGGCGGCCCAGGGCGCAGAAAGGGGAATCCTTTTCGGAGCGGATCTGCCTTGAGCCTCTGCCTTGAGGCTTCAGCACGATGAGCGCGGTGCCGCCCCCTGTCTGCTGAGCGCCGCCGGCCCGGTTGTTTGCATCTGCTGTTGCGATCTTTCTTCCATGTGCTTTGCTGCCTTTTTTTGGCCTGTCTGTGCCTTGAGGTTCGCTCGCTTCAGTGAGTCGCGGCTGGACCGAGACCTGTTAACGACGTGGGGCAAACAGGTTTCGGAGCTCGCCATACTGCAAAGACTGCATTGCGTGGAGCACGAAACCTGCTTTTGCCAGCGATCAGCGGGCCAGCCCGTTCCGCCATTCCATCGCCATTCCGTGCGGAGAAAAAGACTCAGAGCGGGCGCAGTACTTGCTAGTGCTGTCTGTGATTTGGTTGACTGCATATGTGAAGGCCTTTCTCATAAACCCCATCTTATGGAAATGAGCGTTATGTAGGTGGTAAGGCTGATTTATCTCCGCGATTGGCCTGATATGGGCCGATTGCTCTACATTCCTGAAATAATTCATCCATTATTCTTCCACCTGGTTCGCGCAGTCGCAGATCTTGAAGCTGCGAAGCTCAAGGCTTGCTTTGCACCAGTGAGGTCGGGACCTGCAAGGTTGACAGCAGATTCCACCGAGGGTGTCAAGCCAGCTGGAAACTGAGGAAGCCATGTAGCTAGTATCTGTCCAGCCGTGTGGGGAGTCTCTGAGCTATACTCCAAGTAAACTACATGCTTGCGAGTTTGGCCCGAAAGCATGCGTATGGGCCCTCGGTGTCGCAAGTTGGCCCATGCCGTGCTTGTGTTTAGTCTGAGCCTTCCAGCCTTCGCCAGCGTGGCGAGGCCGAGGAATGGTGTGGTACTTGTAGAAGCTGTATAGAGTCTAGAGCGGCCTGAATCTTAGTCGGAACGAATGAGCATCAGAATAAAAGCTTGCACGACGTGCTTCTGGCCGCCGTTAGTGTCATAATGCTTGTTCACCTGGCCACTGGCCACACCGCGCTGCCACTATCCCCTGTCTGTGGATGTCATGTTCATGGCGTCTTGAGTGACAGAGCCTCCTCCGGTGCTGACTGATGTTGTTGCAAGCGAGAGAAGGCATTGTGGCGTGTGTGTGTGTGTGTGTCGTGGACAGGCTCAGAGCTTTAACGCATGAGGGGCAGTTTTTTGACACGAGTTCCATGAGTGCTTCGTTTCCATAGCCTCGTGTCGAATAGACAGCACGATGTAATGCCACAATGTCATGGGCAGTAAGGCCAGCAAGAACCCACTTAATCTTCTCGGAGCTTGCCCAGGGCGATGCCCAAGCGCCCGATGCCGCAAGCCATCGTCTTCGTCACCGGAAATGCGAAGAAGCTGGAAGAGGCAGTGACTCTCCCGGCTTCGCCCTTCCTTCCAATACCAGTTCCAGGTGAAGCACATCTTGTCCTCGGGAGCGGAGGAGCTTCCCTTCGAGGTCACATCGCAGAAGGCTCCATGCACTGCTCGCGCTCTCCGGGGAGAGCAGTGTCTTTGCCACGGCCAGGTCGACTTGCCCGAGCTGCAGGGATCGAGCACGCAGGAGAAAGCGGGTGGAGTGGTCAGGGTGGTCAGGGTGCAGAAATGTGCAAAGGCTGTTTATTCTGATGTTGCCCTGGCGGGCAATCGTCTCGGCAAGTGCCAGGAAATCGCCGTGGCAAAATGCCGTCTAGCTGCGGTCGCTCGGCACACTTGTGCCGATCCGGCATCCGTGTCAGAGAGCTGTGTATCGGCGGTCCAAGCCCAAGCCCAGGAGCACGTGAAAGGGCCCGTCATGTGCGAGGACACCTCGTTGTGCTACCATGCACTCAAAGATCTCCCAGGCCAGGCAGCCCGGTTAGTGCTGTCATGGTAGGTACCCTTAGAGGTGCGGGGATTGCGAGGTCCATACATCAAGTGGTTCCTGGAGAAGTTGGGCCATGAAGGGCTTAACAAGCTGCTTGCCGGCTACGAGGCGCATGTGCATAAAGCAAGTGCAAATAAGGCCGGCTCGCTTAGCTGTATTTGAGTGCCACCGAGCTGAATGATTCTTGCGAGGACAAATCGGCCTATGCGACTTGGATGCATCCCTGCGGGCTTTTTAGGCGACCGGGTTGCGACAACACCAAGGCGCAATGCCTCTTCACGCTCTGCGCTGGGCCCGGCAAGGAGGTGCGCGTCTTCGACGGCCGCACAGAGGGCAAGATCGTGGAGGCCCGAGGCCCCAAGGACTGCAGGGCCCACGCCCTACATGCCCTACCTTAAGGGACTCCAGTCTCCTTTCTTACAAGCTGCACTTTGCCTGCACTTCCGCTTCTCTAGGACTTTGGTTGGGATCCGGTCTTCGAGCCCTTGGAAGGCGAGGGAAAGACCTTCGCCGAGATGGCGACGCCCAGCTTTGAAGCGTTCGCTTTGAGTGCGCAACTTCGTTGTAGCTTGCATTGCGATCTTTGCGGCTTTGCCTGTTTGCAGCGTCCGCCTTGTCGCCTTTTGCTCTATGCTGTTTGTCGCTTTTCCCTTACTTGCTTAACTTGTTTTGAAGCTTTGCAGCTGTCCTGTCCGATCCCATGAGTCGTGTATCTTTTGCAGCTGTTCAGTCTGCCTTGCTGCCATCCTGGCTTGCGCATATGCCTCGTAGAACCGCAAATATCCTATTTGTCGTGTGACTTTCGGCATTTTCTGTTTGGTGCGCCTGCTGTGTGGCTTTGCCCCGGCCCTGTTTGTCGTCGCTTTGTGATTTGTTCGTCTGCTTTGCAGTGCCCTGCAGTGCCCAGTTTGTGAGGGCCAGAATTGATGTCTGTCCTGCCTATTCGTGCTCTGTGGCTTTTGCAGGCCACAGCAGTCTGATTGAGAAAGCCATTCCAGAGCCTTCAAACGCCTTGATCGGCCCAGGAAGGATGCCAAGAACGCAATCTCCCATCGTGGCCGAGCATTGCAGCAGCTGCGGACCTGGCTGATTGCCAATGCCGCGACCTGGCGCCAAGAGCTCCAATTGCAATGCCTGCTGTACGCTCTAGGGCCTTTAGGGTTTCCGGATTAGTTCTTGCACCAAATATACCCAGAAACTACAAGTACAGCAGGAGGCCCGGTAGCAGCAACAACCAGAGTGACAACAAATACGAGAGCACACCGCCGGCATCCGGCGTTACTAGTGCGATGACTCTTCGAGAGACCACCATAGTTGACTCTGCCGAGGCGACCTTCGAAGCGGAGTCCAAGTGACACCCAAGGGCCGGCAGGATCCGGGACGGGAACACGCGAGAGCTCTGCGTTGCGAGGAGCAAGGAGATTTCTACGTGTGAGGGAGTGGGGGAGTGACCGACTGAGAGTGTGAGAGTGTGAGAGTGTGAGGTTGGCAAGGCAAGGCAAGGCAAGGCAAGGCAAGGCAAGGACGGAGGGAGGGATGGGAAATATCAGCAAAAGCCGCTGCAGCACAGACGCGCTCATGCCGACATATGCCGACTTTGCTGGTGGCTGCAGTATGGCTCAAGCTCTGGGGGATGGGGCCAGGGCGGCAAGACTGCGGCGTGGACCAGGTTCATGAACTAGAGTCAGAAACGTGGGCCCGCGTTGGTGCCCACAAGGCGGCTTCGCGGCCTCTCGGGTCTTCCAGCCTGGCGCCAAAAAAGCGGCTCCGTGCGCCAACAAAGAACTCGGTGCCCTCAGGCCGATGAGGTCGCGCCGGCGGCCATCGAGGCCCAGAAGCCTGAAACGCAGCTTCGCATTGTCGCGCTCCTTTCAGTTTCGAAGGCTGTAACTAGCGATGGTGGCAGCTGTTTCGGCGGACCCCGTTCCACAGCTGCTTCGCGGGTTGCGGGCCTGAGATCCAGCCAGTAGATCAGCAGCCTTTGAAAGCGATGCCGGAGCCCCCACTGCTCAGGCATTGGCTGGACTCGATCGGACATTCCATCCTCGAGACCTGCCTGCATTTGCCTGCACAGCGCAGGTCAATGTGTTTGATCCGCCACCAATTTTTCAATTTGTATTTGCACTCGTGCTTGAACTTATCTACTATGGACAGTAGCAGAGCTTCTAAGATTCTAAGACAGGTCAGCAAGACCACCGACGAGGCCGGGAGGGCCGAACGCCACATAAGTAGACTACCTTTTGCTAAACCTCGGCTGCCTAAGCGTTGATGAAAGCCTTTGTACGGACGCGCCTCCCCGACTCTTCTCCTTGTGTTTGCCCCACGTCCCTGCCCGACGACTGACCGGCAGTGGAAACGGTTGAGCAAGTTTTATGGATGCGGCTTGGGTTTGCTGTCATACCGTGATGTATCTCTTTCTGCGCACAGCAAGGAGGCCTCGGATCTGTAATGATTTTTCTGCTCGTACTCGTACTTCGTCGGAGCTCTCTTGGTCTTTCACTTTGTGGAGGCTCTTCAACTCTTTATGACGAGGTATCATCCGACTCTGCTGGTTGCCGCCTATTCTCGCCGCGTTCGACCCATAGCCTATACTCTCTCTGCTTGATTTCCGCCAGCTGTTGCTTTTGTCTCGAAGCTTCGCTATTTCGAGCTCCGGGTACGAACGATCGTCTGTGTTGAAGGCATGCTCAATCATATCTGAAGTTCATGTTAAGCGTTCCTGTCGTTTCTTGAAGCAGAACAGCAGGAGTGAGAGATGTAAGAAAATTCCTACCCCCACTCCTGTGCAGGACCAGATCTTCACCGCAGTGCTCACCCCACTGGTGGATCATCCCGAAGCAAAAGACCGTGTCCTGCGAATCGACAGGCACCTGAGCCTCAGAGAGAACGTAAGGCGAGCGCCGAAAGAGTCGAAAGGCCAGCGGAGAGCCGGCAGTGGCGATGTGGGAACGCCAGCCTCGAGCTTGCCGACTCTTGGAGAGAGAAAGGGTCATGGCATGTCATCCACTTGAACCTGAGCATCAGAGTTTCTAGCCGGAGATCTGAGGACGAGCAGAACCAAAGGCTCGTGTGGATCACAGAGGCACGGCATGGCACAGCGCTGGCTGCTCGGTGGAAGTCTGCTGCTCCGTCAGGACGGGCGTCGCAGCGTCTGGTCCAGGACCAAGGAAGTCTTGGCTTCAAGTGGCGGCTCCGATAGGAGCGCTGCCAGCGCTGCGGCGGAGCACGGAGCGTGCCGCGGCGCCGGGCGTTCAGTTTGCCTGTGTCCAGGAGCGGGGAGAGGGAGGCGCCCGAGGACAGCGACAAAGACGTCGACAGGCAGAGAGGGAAGCTGCGGGAAGCTGCGGGTACCGGGTAGCGAGTGCACAGCTGAACGCCAGAATCGCCTTCCCGTGGCTGCTGAACAACTCCGCCCCGGAGCCGTGGCTTCCGCTGGCCGAAGCCTTTGCTTTGTCTGCCGGCTGCCTCCGGCTCCCAGCGGCCCGAGCCGCCCGAGCCCCTCTGTGCCAAGGATGTTCCCCGAGACATCCTCTACGATGGGGCACGTCGCGGAGCTCAGAGGGAACCGTGCACCAGCGAGCCTTTTCAAGGGCCGTTGAGGGGCTTGGAGCGGGGCTTGGAGGGGCTTCATCGAAGGTTGCGAGCAATTTCAGCAGCAGAATCAGCACGTGCATGATAAAACCCAGGAGTCGCAGCCTTGCTGGATATTCGGCAAATGATCGGTGCACGGAGTGAGCCTCAGGACATCCCGGAAGGGAGGGGCCGGGGACGGCTGCTGGAGACTTGCGATTCTGGAAATGATCGCAGGAGCGCCTCACGCACATCCTGATGGATCACGACCTGCACCCCACTCGCAGGGCTCCCGGAGAGCAAACTCGGATTCGATGCGGGTGATGGCGAGGGCATGCGAGGTGGTTTCACGGCAGTTCTGGTTGCCCCAGGTCAAGGCGGTGACTACCTGATCCCGGGTGTCGACTCGCCTCTCTGGCAGACGCTGAACGTCTCAGAAACCATGCGCCGGAGCCGCCCGGCTCTGTTTTAGAGCGGCTGAAGCTGAATGGACAGAAGAGCTTCTCCAGCACGTGCTGCGGCAGCATGCGACGAGGTATCGTGCAGAGAATCAGCAGGATACCCCACGAGGCCCCGAGTTTTGCAGTGCCAGGCCCTGCTTTGAGGGCCACGTGCTAGCACCTGGCAGGTTCTCTCTCAGCGTGTCAGCTGGAGTGGGAATGCGGAGGCCAGGGCCTTCTGAGCTGTCCTGGGCCGCAGAGTCGCCACTCTTCGCAGGTTTGGGTTGGCCGGCACAAAATATCGTGCCGCTCCCGAGACATCCAGGCTCTTTGGGCTAAAGGGCTGCTGCTCTCTTTTCGGCTTCGCTTTTCCTTTTTGTCTGAACGAGCTGTGACCTGGCTGGCCAGGCCTTGAACGCCAGATGGGTGCCTCCCTTGCAGGACGAGCGGAAGCCCCTGGAGATCGCCCAAAGCTCAACATGTCAACCAAAACGTGTCTCTGGGGGAATCTCCAAGCTGGCGCCCGAGGCGCGCTTGTTGGCCTTGTACAGCGTTTTTGACAATCCTTTGAGCAATCGTCGCAACGGTGTTCACTTGGGGCTGGGGGCCTCGGCTCTTGTGCCAAGCTCATGGTGCTCTGCGCTGAGCGTGTGACTCTTGAAGGCTGGACCCCGAGATTCGACATCATTGCGACTTCGAGCTGTTTGCCTCTCCGTTGAATGCAGCCGTCCAAAACGGTCTTGCCAGCACGTGCTTCTGCTGACGTGCGAGAAGCAGAGTGCGAAAGCCAGGGCGCTTCTCAAGCAAATGGCCTCATGTAGAGCTGCTGTCTCAGACTGCATGGGAGCGTTTGTCTCGTGTGTAAGCCCTGTCTCCATGAGAGCTCGCAGCCTGCGAAGGTGGCGTTTTGGTTCCATAGGACGGGTGCGGGCTTATCGAATTGCCAGCAGGCAGCCAGGTAGACCGGCCCAGAGTAGATGCGGCCACAGGGCAAGCACCTGCGAGGATCATATCCTTCCGTTATCGACTACCTGCCCGTGAATTCGGTTGTGTGCATCAATCCTCCCTTTACAGAGGCAATCCGAATGACGTGTTCTCGGCTTGTTCGACAGAAGAGTGCCGAATAATTTGGATTTGTCCCGCACTTCCCTTGCCTGTTTTCAGGCCTACCTGGCCGACGTGATGGCGCGGCTGGCCGAGCTGAAGTGGCTAGACTGCAGTCAAGAAGCAAGGCATTCTTCACCGTCCACTCGACCCCGAGCACAGGCATAGCAACAAATCCTGTGGGTAACCGGTGTAGCATATGGCGCTGGTGGGCAGGAGATGTCCCGAGTGTGTTTGATCCGCTGGCATCTGTGGCTGGTACCATTCTAAGAGACACGCCGCAGAAGCTCTATGCATAAGTCCAAGCTTGCAGCCGGCGCTTGAACTGGCCATCATGGACAGAGCTGTGGATGCTTCCTATCGCATCCTCGACCTCCCGTTCGGGGCAGGCGAGCATGAGATCCGGAAGGCTTTCAAGTCCAAGGCTTTGCAACACCATCCGGACAAGGGTTCTGCCTCAACATTTCAGCGGATTCAAGCAGCCAGGAATGTTCTCTTCTGCGACCTCAATGGCCCATCAAAAGCATGATGTAGCAAGGACGGGCGGCAAGAAGTCAGCAAGGCCAGTGCTGCAACACGTGCAGCTTGGGCAAGCACGAGCCTGGAACCCGCAAGCTCAGAACGCATCGCACAGCAAGCGTTCTTGGCGCAAGCTGAGAAGGCAAAGTAGGCAAAGCATTTAAACAAACAATGCAAGGGCAGTAAGCCTGGATCCAGCCAAGACCACAAACAAGTCAGTGCCCCGCCCTCGAAAAGCGACAACGCTCGGCTCTTCATATCAATCAACCTGTTGACGCGAGCATCGTCCCTCAAGCCTCACTTCTGTGGCATGGGCGCCGCGGGGGGCTCCTTTTCATTACATGGGTCTTTTCGATGTGGCAATTATCCGCCAAGGCACCCATCAAATCACCTCATAAATCCTCTACACCTGGAGGCCTCTAAGGGCACCCTCCCCATTTTTAAAAACTCGCACATGAGAGGACAGAGCCCGAGCATGTTGCGCAGATGGACCGGAACGGACATGATATTTCTTGGTAAGAGCGGCGGCAACACCAAAGAAGAAGGATGCTTGTTTCGATGCTCCCAAACAGACTGAGAAGAGTCACGATCTTGGACAACTGAGGCTTCGATTCAGATTGCGCATCGCGGTGCCAATCCTCGAGGTGCCGTAAAGATGCCCCGGCACAAGAGTTAGATTTTCATACTATCCGAATTTGGAAGCATATGACTCGGCTCGTCGGCTGTCATGCGCTCGAAGCCCATGGGGCTGCGGCTCGGATCAACACTTCCAGCTTCAATAGGATAGGATAGGAATATGAGAGAAGATCATGCCGTGCCAGCAATTCCCTGAGACTCGAAATGACGCTTCTCTTGGTAGCCCGGAGCCCTTGCCTCAGGCTCCCTGGCGATCACGGCTCCATACTTCCCTGCCAGTTCCGTCGCTGGGACGCAGCAAATATCCAGGGTCGGCTTTCGGCCTGTCGGGGGGGGGGGGGACTGGAAGATCCAACCTGCAACTCAAAATTCGTGATTTTAGGGCGAATTTTCTCGGTAGTTTCAACAAATATGTCATTATCCCTCGTTGCATCGGAGCCAGGCAGCTTCTGAAGACCTACTACGATGCCACGGCGGAGACTCCCGCAGACGTCCCGCCCTTGTTCGCCTGTCGCTGTCCGTCTTCTTCAGCTGTCCATCCGCACAGCTGTTGGCCTCACTCCCTCCGTCCATCCGGGGCGTCTCCTGCCTCTCTGTTTGCGATGTTTTGTTGATCGAATCCTACCTGTAGATCCCCCTTGGAGAGAAGTCGCCACGAGCAGTTCCGCATCCTGCGCCTGTTTGGACTGAGGTGTTGCATCCAACCCTCCTGTGGGAGGAGAGTATGCTCTGAAGTCAACTCTCGAAGTTGAAGGGTTGCGGTACAGTAGGTCTTCTGGTGGGACCCAATGTGTATCTGTAGGTTTTTGATGCCGGAGACACACTGCTACGTGCCGGCTTAAGTGTCGCAGCTCCGCAGGACCCTCGATGTCCACCGAGGCACGGAGCCTACTCTGAGCCTGCTAGCGCCTGAAAAGGAGGGGGTGTCCTTCTGCTCAATGCTAAGGCTCAGCAAGCTACGGGATGTTCGCCCGGCGGGCGAAGACGACCTTGACGAGCATTCTGGCAAAGGCCTCGGCGATCACCTGGCCTTCCTGCCCACGTGCCTCTTGGGAGAAGTAAAGGGCAAAGCATCCCTCCCTTCAAAGCATCCTTCTTTTCATGAGATCGAGCAGTTCATTCGCGCGTGCGTTTCTGGAAGCCTCTGTCACTTTTTAAACGAGGCCGCGCGCATGGCTTGACTCACGACGATCCCCACATGCCCGCCAGCCGGGCTCGCCGGGAAGGCACCCTGGAATTTTCTCGGGAGAAGTAGCAGCACCCGTTGATCAGAGCGATCTTGGAGTGCGGTCGTAGTGCGGTCGTGCCTTGAGGTCGCGATCACTCGGTGTGACGGGGCGCCCCCGACACACGCCACGCGCAGCTGAAGCTCTCCCAGAAGAGGAGAGGAGAGAGCTTACGACGAGATAACGAGTCCCAACTTCCAGATGTCGAGAAAAAGGGTCCGAAATTCTATGCTAAGCGGATGCCGTTTTGCCGGAGAGCTTGAGCACGGCACTTGTTGGATGTGAGCATTTCGGCCCTGCACCTGCGGCCCGGCAGTTCCCGGCCTTGAGATAGGAGCTACTCGTAGGCCAGCGAGGCTTCAGGCCATGTAAACCTCTGTACTCCACAGCTTGTCAGAGTGGGCGGGGCGAGACTCAGGCTAAACTCCATGCTGACCCAACCAACCATCCAAATTTCCGTAGAAATATCACCCGAGTGCCGCTTTGCGCGCGCCCCGGAGCTCCGACTGCCGCTGCCGGAAACCCAGCGTCTGAGTGGATGCAAGAGACAGTGGACTTGACACTACATGAGCAGAGTACGTAAACACAAGACATCTCGTATGATACATACTGGCATCATTGCAAGTATGGTGTTAGCCAGTCGTAGTCTCACCATAGTTATGTCCGCTCCGTTTGTCTGCCCTGCCTGGCTGTCTGTCTGTCTGTCTGTCTGTCTGTCTGTCTGTCTGTCTGTCTGTTTGTCTCTGCCTCTCTCGCCCTCGCACTCGCTCCTCTCTCTCGCTCACTGTTGCTCTTCTCCCACTGTCCCGTCAGTGTAACTCAATCCATGCTGTGTGTCACCTCACTAACTCATCGAACGGTTCCGTGCATGTGTTATATTTCTGGCCGATGTAACATCCTCTGCCGGTTCTACCAGTGACAATCGATCGAGCTGATTGATGCTGCCTGCCAGCCTTTTCATCATGCATGTGCGTTGATCTAACTGTCTGTAGTAGTCTGTATATCTGCTTGTTTGTGCCGACATCACTTTACGACTGTAAATTGGTTTTTCCCACGTGTCCGAGTGACCTGAACCGTCTGGGCTGTCCTGGCTCAGGCCATGGTGAAAGGCCAGCGGTGGAAGGTTCTGGAGAGGGAGGGCGTCATTGCCAGAGAAGGTCCCGAGGAGCGACTTGACGGACGCGCAGTGCGCGGATTCGCCGCTTTAAGCTCTGAGAGCCGCCTCCTCCGCCGTGTGCTGCAGGAGTACTGCCGTATACTGCCAGAGGTCCTGCCTGCGGGAGCCGTCGAGAGCTCAGGTCCTCTGCGTGTAGAAAGCGGAGGGAGATGTCTCTCATCGGTTATAAGGTCGTGGAAGAGCAGGAGTTGAAGGGCAATCGGCTGCGCTTCCTTCGACTCTCTGGCCGGGGGCCGTACACCGGTTGGGCACCTTGGCTCTCCGGATTTGTGAGAATAAGGCTTCCAATCTTGGGGAAAGAACAGCTAGTGACAGCTAGTGAGATCTGATTTGAAGGTAGACGTCAGGGACGGCAGCGTCGACCTGCTCGGGCGGGTCGAGAAGAAGGCAGGAGCGGCAGCAAGCGCTTTTGCAGCGGCCGAAGACGACTTGGATGGGACATCGAAGAGGAAGAAGGGCTCCGAGAAGTGGAGACCACCTCCACAGGTCGAAGCTCCGCCCGTGCAGACCGGGAACTCCTATCCGCGTCCTGGGCGCTTTTGGAAGGTCGTTGGAGCCCCAAAGAGTGGCTTGACGGTGTGGCAGGGAGTGGCCGACTCGTCTCCGATCCTTCCGGGGACCCTACCTCAAGGGGCGGTGGTGGAGGAGGTGCAGGTAGTCGGAAACCGCCTCAGCTTCACCGACTTCTCCATGCGGGGCCCCCCAAGCGGCTGGGTGAACATCCGCGAGAACGGTCGAGACATGATCGTCGTAGACATGGAGGGCTTGTCGACCCTGAACATCGCAGAGGCTCTCAAGGAGAGTGCAGGGATGTCCTTCCAGATGCCACAGCCGGTGCAGGCGGCACGAGAGGAGCCGCCCTTGTCTGGTTGGGCGAAGTTGTCGGAGATGTACGAGAAACCTTTGGCGAAGCAGCGCATGGACTTGGCCGCAGCAGCAGCAGAGACAGACACGGCCAAGAGGAGGGCCCGAAGGCGTCCTCGGACCTCTGCAAAAGAGATCCCACCTTTAGAGGAGTTGGCACACGCCTCGGAAGAGATGTTGGTGGACATGCTGGGCTTTCCAGAGGAGGAGGCCAAGCATTTTGCCATGATGAATGAGGAGAGCAAGAACCGGGTGATCACGGAGTGCAGGGCCCTGATCGACATGTCGCCGTTGGAGCGGCAGATGGCTTTCGAGAAGTTGCGGAAGGCTTGGCCGCGGGGCCCATTTCCCAGCTTTGCAAAGCCATCGGAGAACTTGCCGAGCGTGAACACGAATCTGCTCCCTGCTGGCACCTGCTTCCCCATCAAACGTCCACCCAAGACCTCGAGTGCCCCCTCCAACTTGGTGTCTGCCCTGGACGGGAAGCCTGGGACTTTCTTTGCGGCTGAGCCACACCTCAATGCCCCCGAACAGAAGAAGGCGCTGCAGGCCCTCGCGCAGAAGGTGGCCGTGGTTCCTGCACAAGAGGTTGCCGCAGACCCGTCCGTTGCTGCCGAGAGGTCCGAGACGGCCAATCTTTTAAACTATGAAACTATCCTCTCTGTTTCTACCCACACTGCTCTCTCCGCTTCTTCCACCCTGCGAGGATGGACTTCTGCCGCCTGCCCGCCAGCAAGGTCGATGCCGCCGCTTGCACCTGAAGTTCAGCATGCATCTGCGTTTGCATGACAGAATGACTTTGTGCCTTCCATGAAAAAGGGCATAATACAGCAAACGCTCTCTCACGAGGAGAAGCTGGCGCAGAACGTGATGGCCAAGGCAAAGTTGAGTGGGGCTGACGTGGCTCTCTACCTCGCTGAGGCCATCGCGGAGCGGGAAAATCTCGGTGTGCTCTCTTGTCTCGTATCTCAGGAGATGCGAAAGCGGCCGCTGGTGATGGATGCCGGCCCTGGGCCCAAGCTCAAGGCTGCTTCGCTCTCCGAGGCAGAGGGCCCAGTGCCTCCTGCGAAGCGAAGCGTTGCGAAGCTCTTGGGCTGGCTCTTGTCAGGCGGACTACCGTGGTGAGCGGGCCAAGGCCAGTGGCAAAGACTGAGACTGCGTGCTCGTGTGGAAGTTGGAAGATCGGGTCGCCAGGTGCTCCGTGACTCGGCATCTCAGCTGGGAAACGTGGATCTGCTGTCACTCTCCAAACCGAATTTGGTGCTGGACCTTCATGGGGGGCTGGAGGGATCGAGGCAAAATGCAAAGGATCCCCATCACAACGACCTGTCTCAGCTTGACCCTTGGCACTTGGTGAGGACACCCACAAAGACTATTTGAAAGCTGGTGCAGACATCTGCTGCACAGAACTCAGAGTGCGGCCAAGCCAGAAAGCAACTGAGACTGGATGACATGGCCCTCTTGTGGTTCAGCATAAGTAGGATTTATCTTTCCTTCACGGTGCTCTTCAGGTACAAACACCTTGAATGCAAACGCACTGGCCGTGCGCTCAGCGGCATGTCAACCTCGAGCGAAGGCAACAAAAGTAGAATACAGTTGCTTCGTGTTGAAGACTTGGAGGCTCAACGAGACTTCAAGACCGCAAAGTTCGTTGCGGAAATGAACAAGACAGCCGCCATGCTGGCCAAGCGTGCAGCAGCTGCCGCATGCCCAGGGAGAGACCCAGTCCGAGAAGGGCTGCACGGCACATACGGCACCTCGCCGCTTAGGACATCACCAAGCAGGATCCCCGCAAGCCTCGCTTGGTGGCTGGCTTGATCGGCCCCAACAGCAACCTCTTGCTCGGTGCGCCTGTCTCTCTTGTCCTTCAGCAGACTTTTAGTCTTGTGATCCAGATCTGCCTTGAGCAGGCGGGAAAAATCGCACGCGCAGCGTCAGCTTCGACGACCTCGTCGAGGCCTACAGTGAGCAGATCAAAGGAGCGGTGGGGAGGGGGAAAAAGGGGCGTACACTGTAGCAGCATGTCAATGTGATGTGTCGTTTCGTGTCTTTGTGGCAGGACTGGCGGAGGGCGGTGTGGACCTCCTGGCTCTCGACGCTGTGTCGGATGCAGTGAGCGCCAAGGCGGCTATCTACGCCGCCAGCGAGGTGTACCGGCAGCTGAAGCAGCGCGTGCCGCCGATGCTGATCCATGCCGTTGTGGATCCCAGCACTGGACGCACCCCGGGTGGGCAGGGCTTGGATGCCTTCTACGTGAGCGTGAAGCATGCGAAGCCCCTGATCGTTGGCCTTGTGGCAAGCTCGGGGAGCGATTTGGTGATCGGTGCCTACGGGGCACTTTGCAAGGTGAGCCAGAGCTTCACGGGGCTGCGACTCGGCGAGGAGGGCCAGGCTCCTACGAGTTTGTCCTCCGATGCGAGCAAGACGATGAAGGCTGGAGTGCCGAACCTGCTGGGCGTCTCCGCAGGGGGGCTCCCCACGCACGTCAGTGCACTGGCACAGCTCCAGGTCTCAGTCCCACGCAGTCTGCCGGAAGCCAGCAAGACCATGATGCTCTCGGGCCACGAGGTTCACACATTTTCTGGCTTCAGCCTGGTGGGCCAGCGTGGGAGTACAAGGGCTTCGGATGGCTTCAAGGCTTTGGTGGATGAGTACAAGGCCAAGAAGGATCCGGCAAGCTTGAGGAAGGCCCTGGAGGTCTGTGCAGAGGACGCGGAGAAGGGCGCAGACATCCTGGACATCTGCGTGGATGGCATCGCAAACGATGGAAGCAACCGTGGGAGCAAGGCAGTCTTTAGGAAGTTTGTGGAAATGTGCGATGCGGACGAGCGCATCTCCAAAGCCCCCTTGATGCTCTGCTCCTCCGAGTGGAAGTGCCTCCGGGAGGGCCTCACAAGCGTGCAGGGCCGCAGCATCGCAGCTCGACTCAGCGTTCAGAACTGTGAAATCCTGACCAGAGAGGTATTACTGTAGTATCAATGTTGTATGAGTCCGATCCGTAGCAGCTGCGTGAAAAAGCTGCTGCCACTTGAGGTAAACGCTATCTGCTTGATGGTCGGCGAAGAGGAGTTTCTGAAAATCGCCAAGGACGCATGACCTGATTTTGCGGGATGGCGAAGGATCCTGCAAGAAGCCTCGTTCTGCTAGGAGTGCCTGAAGCACGGCGCAGCCGTGGTCGTGATGGCCATCAGCGAAGAGGGTCGCTGCGTCACCTCAAAGGATCCTTTTCTCACGGGTGCTCCATGTTGAAGACTGTAGAGGTGCCTCTGTTCGTGACGTCAGGACAAGGTGGCTGCCCTTCAGAAGAGCTACCGCCTTCTGCGGCAGAAGTTAGACTTCCCTCCGGAGGAGAGATCAAAAGCCCTTCAGCAAAGAGCAGAACCAGGCCCAATGGGCCTAGAGGCCTGTTCTGTCCCCTTCTCCAGGACATCATCTTGGATTGCCACCTCCAGAGCTTGCGACCCGACGAGCATCCGGCGGTGCCTCGGACCGAAGAGCTCCTCCATCAAAGTTTTCATCGTCTTGAGCTCAGGATGTGATCTCGGCCATCGCAGAGGTCAGGCTTACCTGCCCGCATGCCAGTGTGGCAGCGGGTGTTAGCAACCTCAGCGCGGCCTTCGGGCGGCTCACAAAGCTCAGAGAGGCACGCCAATTCGCCAGTGACCGATATTTATGTCACGCTTTGAGTCACAGGCCTTGCACACCATCTTCCTTCAGCATGCCATTCCGAAAGGACGGGGGGAAGGGCTGGAAGGAGGCAAGACAGGAAGGTTTTATGCAGGGTTCCGCAGAGAGGTCTCAACGTGGCCCTCGCCGACGCCGGCAACCTGCCCCTGTACAGCGACCTGGACAAGGAGACGCGGCAGCGCTGCGAAGATGCTGGGGCCTGGGCTCGTGTATGTCAAAAGATTGGGGAGGGATCACGATTTGGACATTTAATGACATCGAAAGACGGAAGAACTCTCATCTGCGTGAGGTGATCCTGAACAGTGGCAAGGACGCTGCCGTCCTCAAGAGCTTCATGGGCTTCCTGAGCTTCCGAAGTGGCGCCACCGTGTGCCTCCCGCTCCAGGCTGGCGCCCTTGACAAGGATGAAGTCTGCTAGAATTTACAAACCGCGCTGTTCTGTCGCGCTCTCTAGGAGGTGTCAAAGCGCCTATACAATTTCCATTATCGATGGCACCAACAACCGACACACCAGCGCTCGGCCCTCGCAAGGCCACGGTCCCGAAGGACACCTCCGGCCAAGAGGCGGGGCCCCGGCCCGTCCCGGCTCTGGCACAGGGATGTCCCCAATGTGGCGTGGCAGGCCTGGTGGGACTTGCCGGAGTGCAAGGCCGCCGCCAAGGAGGCCCAGAAGGAGTACCTGGAGAAGCGCGGCCCGCTCGCGACGCCCGGGCGCCCAGCATGCAGAGCCCCCTCGCTGCGTTTGTGTGCGACTTGCTGCTGGGGCTGTTCCTGCGCTTGTGCCGTGAGGCCTGCCTTGCAGAAGGCATACTTCCAGTCCCTGAAGATGGCCCACGTGGCCGCTTCGAGCAAGGCATGGCATGCAAGATGCATGCCTTTTTCAATTGCAGCCCAGTAGCAGGTGTCTCCGGAAGCGGGCTGCGCCCGTCCGGACCCCTGCCGTGTGGCTGGCAGTGGCGGCACCGGCGCCCTCCAGCTACGGTCTCGGCTCAACAAAAGACACTGTTTGCAGCTGGCGTGACATGGAGGTATCCTTGCGGAGGGATCATGATTGACCCTCTAAAAGCCGCCTTCGCATGCCGAGGCAGCAGGTTTCCACGGCCCTGGCAGCCGGCACCGCCGTGGGCAGTAACCTCCTTGCGCAGCTGAACTCCATGCTGGCACAGAAGGCCCACAAGCGAAACACAGACTGACCTCTCACCATAGTCGAATTGCTTTAGCTCAAAAGGTCCTCTTGCTGGACGGGCCAGAGGGACCCGGCCAACAACTCTCCGAGATCAAAGACGAGGTGCAGTGCCGGGATCGCACGGCCGCAAGGTGTACACACAAGAGCGAAACTCGAGAATGACTATCATGGTTGCATCTGGTACTTTGAACTGTATGTTGAGTTCTCTGGCTGGCAGGCTTCTTTCCGTGCCTCTCGCTTCCCGGCCTCTGCCAAAGGCAACTTGAACCTGCTCTCTATTACAAAGCCAGACGCCGTGGCTCAGCGGCATCTAGAATCTCCCCAAGACAAGCTGGCGGTTTAAAGCGTTTGACTCAAAGTCTAAGACCTGTGTGCGCCCTCCCTTGCAGGTGCTCGGTGCTCACCGGGCTCTGCTGAAAGCCGGCGCAGACATCATCAGGACTCAAGAAGACGTCTCGGAAGAAGCTCCGCAAGCTCCGAGCCCCAAGGAAGTCTCCTCAAAGCTCGTCTGCGTCCGAGGACGAACACGTTCTACGGCGACGCCTTGTGCCAGAAGTTTTACGGCACCGAGGCCGGGCGATGCTAACATTAACACACACACACAGATAATATGTCTGTATATATATATATATATATGTATATCATATACACATATATATATATATATGTATCAACCTACCTACCTATCTTTTTTTGTTATCAACCTGCCTATTCATCCTTCCATGTATATCCATCCATCCCCATCAAGCACACGTGAAAAAAACATGTTTCGCAGGCCGCTTGCTATGAGCTGAATCGGGCCGCTGCCGGTCTGGCCAAGCAGGCGGTAGCAGAGGCGCGGTCGTGGCTGAGCCGAAGTTGGCAGAGCCAAGGAGGGACGGAAAGACTGTTTCGAGGCTGTCAGTCAAAGCCCTCAGCAGCTCAAGTTCGTGGCGGGTGTGCTCGGGCCGTCCGTCGGAGGCATCTCAGGCCGATCGCCCTCCTGCTCACCCACGAATCCTTGTTGAGACCTTCCGGAGTCCTGGAGGCATCCGTGCGGCTGCCACCTGGGACCAATTGGTGCAGTCCTACCGCCCGCAGGCCAGCCGGCATCAGCCAAACTTGAGGGCTTCCGCATGCAGATGCCAGTGCATTCTTTTGAGGTGCAAGGGCTTGTGGAGGGGGGTGTGCACCTCCTCATGCTGGACATGGTCTCCGACACGCTGAATGCCAAGGCAACGGGATGCAGCTCAAGCCCAAGCACCGGCTCATCCGCCTTCCTGCCAGGCCGCTGTCTATGTCATAGAGGAGTACTTCTCCATGAACCCTAAAGACCGCTTGCCAGTGGTCATCAATGTCACCATGAAGGCCGGCAGCGCTCCCCAAAGGCAGAAGCCTCCGAAGCCCCAAAAACACTGGCAAATGGCCCCCAGGAGGGGAGGACGGCCTCCGGGCAGAGCCTCTCGGCTTGCCTTGCCAGCTTGGCACATGCGCAGCCCTTCGCCTTCGGCGTGACCGATGAGAAGGTGCCTCGCAGAAAGTAGCAGCAATGTAAATTACATGTACGTTTATACGTACATGAATATGTAAGTATATGCGTGCACACGTGCATGTGCATGTCCGGCACATGTGAATGCACATGTGCATGTGTGAATGCATATGCAATTCAAATGCGAAAGCTGTAAGTACGTATGTATGTATGTATGTATGTATGTATGTATGTATGTATGTATGTACGTATATATGTATGCATGTATGGCGAGGAAGAGAGAGAGAGAGAGAGAGTCAGAGAGAGAGCGCTAGAGAATTCAAGAACAAGAGAAAGAGACCGAGAGAGAGAGAGAGAGAGACACTCAGACAGATACATCGGACGTCGATATCATGGTGGTGCCAAGGGCGGCGCGGAGAGGATGACGATGATATGACGACCACTGCGGGGATGATGACGGCGAGGACGACGACAACAATGAAATAAAGATGACAATGATATGACAAGTGTGAGTACTGTCTGTACAATGCTGATAAAGACGATTGCGACGACGATAAAAGTGACGATGCTGGTGGTGAAGAAGAGGATGTGAGTATAAAGGCTTATCAAATTGTTCCAATTTAACCGTCCCTTTTCACACATACTTCTGTATATATATATATATGTGCATATACATATACATACAACTACACATACACATGTTTTACATATACACATCTACATGCATGCGTACATATATGTATGCACCTACATGCGTACATGTGCGTACACTGTACACATGCATGCATGCGCACGCATATACACCTGCACATACATATGCATACATATGCATATGTACACATACACATGCTTCTGCATACATACACCTGCGTGGTTGCAACTGGAATGCCGCCGCAGTGTTAGAAGGTGTCACGAGTGCAAACATGAAGGCGAACCATATGACTTGTCCTTCGAGTGCTTCTGGCAAGCGCCTGTGCAGCAGACGTCTTAAGCCTCGCAGGTGGTGCAGGAGGCGGCCAGGGACTCTTCGTGTTGGGTGCATCTGCAGCGCCCTCGGCACGGCATATGCCCGGTTCTTTTGAATAAAAGCTGTCTTCAGCAACATACTGATTTGTTTGCATCAGGATCGACCGTGGCGGTGTCGATGATTCTGGTGACGAGGGATGTTGATGATGTTGCTGGTGCTGGTGCCGCTGCTGCTGCTGCTGCTGCTGCTGCTGAGGATGATGATGATGATCGACGGTGGCGGTGACGCTTCTGAAGACCACGCCGAGGGCTTGCTTGCTTGCCCAGGATAGGTGACAACGCCTCTGCGGGCAGCGTGAACCTAGTGTCGCCGTCGGGATCACGTCCTCAGGCTCGCTCGCGGCTTGTGAGCCCTTGCAACTTCAGAGGGGCCCTTCGCGCTTTTGCGCGCTTTTCACCGTCAGGACGTACAGCTTCTGGCAAGCAAGCTGGGCCAGGCCGGCTCCGAGGGTAAAAGAAGGTGTCTCTGCGATGAGGACTTCGCTCGGTGGGAACGGCGATGAGTGTGATTTTCATGCACAGGGGGCGATTTTCGAGTTGGGAGGCGGCGCCCCGGAAGCTGCCGGCATCGCAGGCGCCGGCCCTGAAGCTCAGTGGCCTGGAGGCCGGAAGCTCAGGAATGGGGGCTTCCAAGAGATCGAGGTTTGTGGAAGATGGTGAAAAATAGGCGAGGAGACCAACGGGCCTTTGAGGGCACAGACAGTACGCTCGAAAGTCAAGTCGAAGGTTTGCCCGTGGCAGGGCATCCCATGCTTTCAGATGGCAGCGTGACGCAGCGTGCTCACTGCAGAACTCTTGAGACAAGATGAGGATCCCAGGCGGTCAAGGGGTTCGATTCTTGGGCTTTGCGAGTCTGCAGTTTCTATCTGTGAGAATCCGAGAGTCTCCCAGCTCGGCCCAGGCCATGACGGCCAGGCCTGACGATGGCCTGAAGCTGGCGGGTCAGCGTTGCCATGTGCAGGCTCGGATGTGTCACGCGAGCCTTAAAGCCGAAGGGCGAGCGGAGCAGAAGCAGCATGTGCTCAGGGCTCTCACCGCTTCAAGGGCCTCATGCAAGCCTACAAGTGACCTCTGCTGACGGGCCGTCAAGCTCCTGCCGTCTCCGTCTTGTGCTATTGAGGTACAGCAAGGAAGACGATGTCTGGGAGGCAGCGGTCGACGTGGCTGTGCAGCAGGTAGAAGACGAGGCCACCAGCTCTTGGGTGATCACGACAGAAGGCTTGGGCTTAGTCGCAGCCTAGTCAGTGCCAGGCCGACCTTTTGGACGTGAACCTGGATCTGCCGGACTTCGACAGCAAAGCTGCCATGGGCAAGTTTGTGCGGAGGTGCGCGGTGCACCCACAGGCTCCTCGGCTGCCGGCGCATGAATCGCATGGCCTCCGCCTCCGCCCGTCTTTGCCAAGGTCTCCAAAATGCCTATGATCATCAGCTCGATGAGCTGGGAAGTGATCGCAGAGGGACTGAAGAGCACGCAGGCAATGATGCACGATGATGCAGTGCCGTGTGATTTTAGCTTCACCGTGCGGCACAGGGGAAGTGCATTGTCAACGGCATCTCCATGGCCAGCAGCGAGGAAGAGTTCGTGCGGGTGGCAGCAGAGTGCAGGAGCACCAGACTGCTCTGACTCTCCACAGCACTCGACACATTGAGCTGTGTGTTGCTTACCAGGCGCTTTGGAGCTGCGATTGTCGTGCTCGCGATGTCAAGGGTCGCTCTGACACGTTTCCTCAACCGACGCCGGTGGCTTGTCCTGGAAACCGCAAGAGCTCGATCTGTTCAGTCTCGATGTTTCTTGGACAGGCAGATGGCGAGTTCCCGAACTATCAGGAGAAAGTCACCTCCTGCCAGCGCGCCTACCAGCTGCTACGATCTAAGCTCGACTTCCCGCCGGAGGACCCGCAGTGCTCCGGGGAGTTGATGCGCTTGACAGCACAGACTTTGGCAACCGCTGATGCCAGGACATCATCTTTGACTGCCTCGTCACGCCATTGGGTGCCTTTCTCATCGAAGCATCGAATCCAGTTTTGCTTTCGTGGGATTTGCCTAAAGCCGAGGTTCCCACGGCATCAAAGCTTCCCCGAAGGACTTCATCGATGCTGTGGCAGAGGTGAGGCGGACCTGTCCGGGTGTGAGCTTCATCGCTGGTGTCAGGGACTGAGAGTTTTGAAGCGGTGTCGTGCGCGCAGAAGCCACTTCTAGACATCCTGTTGTGAGGTTAGCAACCTTGGCGTTGCCTGCCGCAGTGCCGCAATGCTGCGCGAAGCCCTGGCCAGCACGCCACGTCCTCGGCGTGCCGGGACTCTCCGCAGACAGCGCTGACCAGCTCTGCCGCAAGCTGCAGGTTCCTGCAGCAAGCGGTGCCTGTGGGCCTGAACTTGGCGCTGGTGGAGCTCGGCCGCCTGCCGCGCGTCGACAGCCTGGAGGACAGTGACCGTCGGGCCGCATATCGGTGCTGCAGATGCAAGCAGAAAACCAGTGAAGCAGGAGCCGACCCGGAGCATGTGCATAGACGTGGTCACGAACCATGCGGTAGACGGCCAGCATATCTCCAGGCTCTGCTACTTGCATCCAGTGCAGGAATGGAAGGTGTGACTCGCACAGGTTCCTCAACTATGGGGCCTTTCTGTCCGGTGCGTCGGCTGCGGAGGCAGCGATGAGCAGTGCAAGCTGGACTCGCCTCAGCTGGATCTTACGTGCAGGAAGCTCAGAAAGCGAAGGCGAAGGTGGTGAACACCTTGCAGCCAAAGCTCCGGCCTCGTTGAAGTCACCGGATCCTGTGTCTTGTGATTCGCAATGATGTCAGGGAGAAGTCGGCTTTGGTGCCGGTGAAGCAGCGTGCTCCACAGCCTGCCAGACCCAGCCCACAGTTTACCCATCCTGTGGAGATTCTCGTTCAGGCGCCCTGTGGCCGGTGTACGGCACACTTTAAAGGAGCTCTGCCAAAGAGTTGACACCGCGAGGCAACGGGCACCGTCAGCGCGTCGGTCTTCCAGACCTTCGGGAGCAAGGCGCATGCGGCAGCCAACTTCCACAGGCTGGACGGCTACAAGTGTAACAGAGATCTGTCTGTTGGTTTGGGGCAGAGTGGGGCGGGTCTCTTTCGACCTGCAAGGCTCAGCACGGCCACGACCATCAACAAAACCGTGCATTTCTCCTCAATCTCCGTGTACATGGGCCAAGGAGGATCAGGACCGGCTTGATAAGGCCCAAGTCTGGTCTCAAAGCTTAAAGATGGGGGTAGCGCTGAAGCGGTGAAGGACCCGGAACAGGCGCCAGTGGTTTGATGGACGGTATAGCTTTGTGGGAGAGGCCGTCCTGGATCTGCAGCTTCAGACCTTGTACGAGGGTTGACAGCTGACAGATGCGGACAGGCATCAAGGCATGAATCAGTACTCAACCACCGTGCTCTGGGGTGCCATCGGAGAAATCGGTCTGCGAAAGGCGCGGGACTGTTTTGTTTTTTGATTGTTGGATCTCTTTTTTCTGAGGCCATCTACGGCTCTCGTGACGTCTTCGCACAGTTCGACCTGGGACAGAAGCTCATCGGACCGGCCGACACTTCCTTCCTGGAGAAGCAGGCACGAATCGTGCGTGATGGTTTGGTGGGATTCGTTTGTGACGTGGGAGTGAGAACGTGATCGGGCCCTTGAGGTCTGCTGCAATCCCTTGACTTGGGACTTCGTTGGCCTGGCCTACCTGGACAACACCTGGCAGGACTCGCTGTCAGGCCGGCCCCCTTGACATGCTCAGCCTTCTGAGCTCTCCTCGCAGACTCCAGTCGCAGGCCGGGGCGGCGGTGGCTTGTCGAGCCGCAAGACCTTCCTGGACAATTGAGCACCTCGGTCTTGGAAAGGGCGAAAGTAATTCTGAGACCGCGTGACTGCACGAGGTGGAGGATGCGAGTTTCACGATGATCCATACTCATCAGCGGGCTGTGTCGGACCACTCTGAGCGTCGTTTCCACTCTTCCGTAGACCGAGGGAGCAGGTCCAACAGATGCAAGCCGCAACATTCATGCCCATGATCACACTGTTACGAAATCGCGAGTATGTAGTGGAGGCTTGGCAAGCTGCAATCGGACTCACGTGCTCCCTCCGTGACAGCTTTGAAAGCGCTGCTTTATGCCATCCAAAAAAGGCAATTGCTCCATTGCTTCCCGGCCTGAGGGTCCGGTTGCCTTCGTCGCATCGCAGATGGCGCGCCCACGTTTCCGATTCCTCTCAGCTTCCTCTGTTAGTTGTAGGCTAATGGCAGGTGGTGTAATATGTAGCTCAAGATGCAGATTTCCCGTCGCAATTGCGCCGTAAGCCTTCTCGTAGAGCAATGCAGATACGGAATTTCACCGGTCAACCTGCATTCAAGAACAGGGCTCGGTGAAAGCATGAGGTCGACAGTACACGCGCCTAGCATCCCGGCCAACAATCACAGTCACTCTACATTCCGGTGGCATTGTGCACGCCACAAAGTTGCTAAAACTGTAGCTGGGTTTCGAGCGCTTGCGCATGAGGAAACCTGAATGCCTGAATGGGCTTATGTGTAGACTAGACAAGACAGCACTTCTGGTCGATCTTGTGGAGGATGGGGATCAGCACTTGCCATGACCTTTGAACTAACCGCGACAACTGCAGTGTAGCGCGACGGCCGCGAGCAAGGTCGAAGCGACCTTGTCGACAGATCACCACAACCACATGATCACTTGAACACTCTTTTCTGTGCATGTCGATGCCCACGTGGCTCAAGCAACCTCTCCCACATCGAGCTCCAGCTCCGATTTGGTCGGGGGCTCGCACTTCCTTTACAGTGCTGCGTGCTCATGTTCGCGCAGACATCGTTTGCAATCAAACAAGCGCCCTGGATCCAGGTTTGCGTCTTGCTTCCAAGTTACGGCCCCAGAGTGGAAAGCGCGGGTGCTGCCAGAGCTGGGCTCCGCCTGAAAGTTATATACATCCATATACATCCTATGCCGCAACTCTCCTGCGCGGGCTGGCGGAGTTGTGGTTTGATTCGTTACTGGAACGGCGCGTAGCCCTCAAGCCCACACTGGACTTGTCGCAGACTGCTGGCCATGCATGTGGGTACGTTTTGGCGAGAGGTTGAGTTACGTGCCGATTCGAATTTGCATGGAGGTGCTTGCCAAAGACAGCAATTGTGCAGAGCAACCTGAAGTTTTCACGCAAGAAGATGCCATCCGTCGACCCGAGTATAAGTATTGTTTCCAGTTCATGCTTGCAGTACTGATGGTGAAGTGCTGCTGGCTTGAGGGCGGTGTTTGATCGAGGCTCGCACCGCTGTGCCACAGTCATAGATACCGGCACACAACACACAAGCCACAAGGCCACAAGGGAAGAAGCAACAGTCGAAGACTCAGGTCTAGCCAGGGATCGCGTCGTGTGTTTGTGTGTGTGTGTGTGTGTGCGCGTGCAAGAGCGGGGGCAGAGGTAGGTGTGCGTGTGTGTGTGTGTGTGTGTGTATGCGTGTGTGTATATATATATATATGCCTGCTACCGTTTTGACCCTATTGTTATTGGTTGTGCGTGGTAAAACCTGGTTATTCTACTCACGCCCTACTTTTGTTGGTCGGTGGTAACTCGCACCCGTATTTCTTAGATTTTCTTAGTGTCTTAGTGCCTCAGGCTGGATCTCTGGGCCTCGGACTTGCAACATTTTAAACGTCGTTTAGTGACTGAGATTGTCGGCAATTGGCGGTGTTATGATCTCAATCGTGATCATGATTCGTGAGTGTCGTGCGAATCCCTAAAGGTGCCATGTATCATGCAAACATACACGAGCACAAACACAAGTAGAACGCTAGGCATACCGATGTTCATCGGTAACCTGATCATGCAAATGCATTCCCGGTTGCTTTTGTTTCAGTCCTTCAGCCACTGGACGAAAATCCGACCATTTCTTGTGCTGGAAGCCTGCACCTGCACCAGTTTCTCCAATATAATGTTTCAGCGCCACACGACTAGAGAGGAGATCGTCTCCGATTCGTGGGCATCGCTCCAACAGTAGAGAAATGACCTTGTTTGTTTTCTCACAATCTCGTACATCTGCACGGAAGAAGCTTTTCAGGCCGTTCAGAAACTTGGATAGTCGGTCGGGAGTCATACCATGCTCTTGCACATGCTGCAAATCATGACGGAACATATCCCGGAACTTTCGCAAATTGACGTCGATGTCACCTGGCGCAGCTTCCAGTAGCGTCCGTGCGAGTGATTTCCTGGCATCAACACACAGATGTGGAGGGTGCTCTGCAAACCTCAAAATGAGTAGCGGCCACTGCTGCAAGGGGAAATCCACCCGACGTTCAAACGCCGAGGCGTGCAAAAGTACCATGGAAGTTGCCGTGCTTGCCACAAATTCTCTGTCATCCTGGTTCAAAGTTGTCGCCCCTTCGCAAACAGAACGCCAGAAGGATTCCTTCTCTGGACCTTGCACGTACACACCCGCCGGGCCGCGGGTTTGGGTGACAACCATACGGTACGATGTTGCTAGCAGGAACAGTCTGAGCACCCGAGAGATTTAGTTACTAACTGGCTGCAATTCTACGATACACATGCAACTGTCATTCTGGCTCAATATGAGTCATGAGTGCATGAGGTACATGGGTCGGTTTCAAACAAGGCTAGTGATAGTTCTGTCGAGCACGAGGAGGTTGTTGTTGAAGTGTGTGTGTCGATGTGTCTGTGTTGTGGTCTAACGCGGGTACAGTGCAGCAAGGCGTCCCAGTAACTGTTCAATGTTTGACATCAGCTCCAACGCCTTGCCATTGACAAGTTGTGTCAAGTGGTTTCCTTTCCGAAGCAGTGTATCTGCTGAAGTCTTTTTCAGAAGGAATATGGAGCATCGCATCACATCCGCTCGAGTAGCATGCATTGTTCGCACAACCGCGTCGAACACGGGATCAGCCAAAACATCAAGGCAGTCATGCCTCTGCTTCCGCGCTCCTGCCCGACGCCGTATGGAGTCAGGAGCTCGTTCGTGTTTGGTGAGCAACTTTACCGGATGCTGATGCGCGTTAAAATTCAGGCCTATTCACCTGTACGTGAACCCAGTCTGTGGACTGTTGCCTGGCCAATGGTTGATATCTTAAGTTTGTTTTTCGATTTCTTGTTCCATGCTGTGTGCGTGCTCCTAGGATCCAGGACAAAGCCCCGCCCGGGATTTGCTTTCGTGTCCCTTTGGGGCTCCCGCCCGGGACTGAGCAGATCCGCGATCGGTGATCAGATCATGGCTGCTCCCATCGTCTGACTCGATTAGGAGGATGAGGTCGACTCGGCCATGGCTGCAATGCAGGCCAGCAGCTCAGTGCAACCCCGTCGCTTGCCGAGTTTTCTTGATACGGATTGAAGCATTCTGGATGTAAAGCTGGAGGTGGAATCTACTTGTGGCCTTTCCATTGCCGCCTACCCAGTGAAAACCAAGAAATCGTAGCGTTTCGAAATGCAAGGACTTCCTTGCAGTCCCGATGGACATCAGAGGGTTCGATGGAGAATTACGGGGTTCCGACAGCTTTGTCCCAGAAATATTGGTGCAACTCCCTAAAATTGCAAGCCGCACAAAGTCCCAATCCTATGGAGTCTGGGGTACTCCCGTGGATGTAAGGCCATGGCAGGACTCAATCCTATCGACACGGAGGCAGTCACGCTGCCATTCGCACCTTTGTTTGTCGTTGGTTCAATGTTGCAACCCGTGGCAGGTTGAGGATATACCACTGGATGACTCCCCTCCCAGCTCAGGCCAGGCTGGGGCTTGCAAAGGCCTGCAATTCGAGGAAAGGACCCTTCAAAGGACCACGCGGCAGTACGGCCAAGAGTGGGCCAGAAAGAACCACCAAGACCCGGCAGTGCGATTTGTTGCGGCCAAGAGTCGGCCAAAAAGAGCCACCAAGACTCGGCAGTACGATTTGTTACGGCCAAAAGTGGGCGGGGAGCCACCAAGACCCGGCAATACGATTTGTTACGGCCAAGAGTGGGGCAGAAAGAGCCACCGAGACTCGGCAGTACGATTTGTTACGGCCAACGATGGGCCAGGAAGAGCCACCAAGACCCGGCAATACGATTTGTTACGGCCAAGAATGGGCAGAAATTTGTTGCGGCCAGGAGTGGGCCAGAAGTAGCCACCAAGACCCGTCATTACGGCCAAGAGTAGGCCAGAAAGTGCCCAGATTCGGCACCACGGTTTGTCATGGCCAAGCATGGGCCAGGATGAGCCACTGCGCCAAAAGTTGCCGAACATGCAGCCGCCAGTGGTGCAGGCAGGTCATGTCCGCGCAAGTTCGCTCACATGGACTTTTGTTGTCCATTTGTTTGTTGCTGGTCTCTTTTTTGAGGGCGCCGCTTGCGCGAGAAGCACATGGTCTGTGGCATCATGTGCATGGCATGCGACATCTCTTCGCTTAGCCGTAGCCCTGTGTTACGTTACTTTTGTCCAAGCCCCAAGTGCTGCTTTGCACGAACATCGTTGTGCAGCCTTCATTTTCCTTGCCATACCCGTGCGGCACAACATATCCTCATGCTTCTCTGCACACGTCTTGCTATGCGCTTCTCTTCCTGCAACCTTCGGGTTTTGCTAAAAATCTATGCAAATTTTCGTCACCTACAGACCTAAACTTCCAGACCTCGCTCTGCCTAGCGCCGTGTGCTTGATGTGTGGCTTGTTGCGTGGCTTCTTAGCGCAAATCTTGATCTCCACAACGCGCGCTTCAAGTAAATTAAATTGTGAGAAAATGCACATCCAGGCTCCAAACGAGTCTTTGGTTACGCTTACATGAAAGCGAGCGTGCTGCGTCCAGGGTAGACATCAATAGAGAGTCCCGATGAAATGGTAGTGAAATCCACGAAACTGCTGAGCATGCCAATGTAAACGACCCGGTGGCCAGGTGGAGCTTCAGGAGGCAGCGATGCGCGAAGCGCGGGAAGCCCCGGGCCCCGGGTGAAGGGTCGAGATGAGAGATTTTCAGTGCTCGGCTGGCAACGTCAGGCATTACAAGTCGAAATCCAAGAAGAAGAAGCACACCAAGGTCGTGCGAGCGCGGAGTCTTGTAGGCCGAAAGGGTCTTGCGTGTCGGATGTTTTCTTGATGAGGTTGCACCTTGTTCGCCATTTTTCGGCTGTCCATGCAAGACGTTGCAGTGATCTTGATCTGAGATACGTTAACTCCGGGCGATCTTGCGCCGCATCGAAAACTCACGATGTCTGGGGGGCTGCTACATTTTCCATGTTTGCTTGTGCTGCTTGGAACGGGACACCACAATCGTTCTGTTGAAGTTTCGACTTGTTCTCGCAAGCTTTCGTGCCTTTTCAAGCTATGTACCAGATTTCCACGGGAGTTCCCAGGCAAGCAACCCATGTACGGGTCTCCAAAAACATGTACGGGTCTCCAAGAAGGCACATCACGGAGCTAACGGCAAACCCAACTGCGAAGAGCGCAAGACAATCTTCGAAAGGAGTTCAGCCACGGTGCGGCATCGGAGCTTTTTGCTGGTGCATGCAGTAGCGGTATGACCGTGAAGAGAGGTGAAAAGTGGGGAATGGCACTCCGCGGCCTTTTCAATTCAGCTGGTTGACGATTTCGTTGTATGACGGCTTCTTGTTTTCTCGGGGGGCGATTTTATCGTATGATGGCTTCTTGTCTCTTTGCGGGACGGCTTCTTTGTTTGCGGGGGACGATGTCATTGTATGACAGCGTGTCTTCTCGGGGAACGACTTCATTGTGTGACCGCATCTGGTCTTTTTTGGGGTACGATTTCATTGTATCATGCTTTCTCGGGGGACGATTGCATTGTATGACAGCTGCTGGGGGGATGATATATGACGATGTCATTGTGTGAGTTTGAAGGCCAGACTGCCGACATTGCTTGTGACCAAGGCCGACAGTATCCAAGAGGTTCAGGGCCCCTCGTAAGGGTACATCGTAGTCACAGTCGACAACGCTATGAAGCCGCGCACTCGTTGAGTATAGTGAAACCACGGAACTTAAAGCTCTGATTCGATCTCCTGCATTGCATTTCGTTGCCTTTGCTTTTGCATTGCCTGCTGGGTATTCGATTGGAGGTGCCCTGCTTTTTGCCCGAAAATTAAGTGGATTCCTCTGCTTTTCACATAAGAAATAGGAATCAGGTATAGTCGTTATGCCACTACTGTTTCCATCAAGCGTAAAAGCAGGGTGGGAACGTTTCTTGCATTCGTATTCCTTGCTGCAAGCTAAAGTTGGAAGTGACAAAACCGTTTTATGTGTTGCGGGTTGAGAGGGCGACCTACTAATTGGAGCATGGAGCCCCAATCCGAGTCGATGTTCTGAGCGAAAGGCGTTTGACAGATTGCAAATGACGGGAGATGCTCTTCACTGTTGCTGGGACAGTGCAACATGTCCAGATCCTCAGCTTGCAAACCTTGTATAGCCTCGATCGCTTATATATAGCGGGCCCTTACGCATCAAGGATGCGTTATGCATGAAGCAACCGCCATGCAAGCCATATCGCTTGAAGAGAGGGGGAACGTTGGCCGATGTGACAACTTGATGATCTTTGGGGCACATCAATGTTATCCAGGCGTAGGTCCCGGATTCCGAGTTTAACAGCATGTCTTTCGCCCACTATTCGCTTGGATTGTGAATGTCTTGCACGTACCTGAACCATGGATCTCCAGAAGCCAAACGTGCAAGACATGCTAAGCGCCGGGTGGCTTGGCTTCCTTTCAGACTTGCCGTAGCAGCCTTTACGTTGCACACTTCTGCAGACATGTGTCCTTGACAGTTGTTTATGAACATACGCACACCTGCATGCACTGTCTTCGTCCATTCCGCATGAGATCAACTCCAAGCCAGGTCGTGCCTTCTGTTGCAACATGGCCCGGCATGACCGAGTTCTGCATTGATTGGAAAAAGTTGGACCCGCGTCATTCGTGTCATGTGAATGCCGGTGCAGTTTCTGATTTAGTAGATGCACGAAAGAACTCCCTTGGCGAAGCATCGTTCCATCCATAAAACCGAAGCGATGTTGCTGTGCGGCTGTTGTGCATTATTGGAGAAGTTGGGACATGGGGGGGGGGGAGAAGGCCTTCATGGGCTCCCTGTTGCAACATCCCCAGCCAAGCCTGCTGAAACGTCTGCTCGTGTGGCTGCCAGGCTTGGCGCTGCAAACCGTGAAGCCAAAGCCGTAAAGGTTCTGTTTCAACTCAAAAGCTGGGCACACAAGACAAGCACCCTCGCCAGCGTCGGATTTAGCTCCTGGTTTTCTACTTATTTCGGCGTATGTCGGAGCCAGTCAGCACGGTGCAGTGCGAGGATTGCTCATATTGCTCAGGCCGTGGCGGCTCAATCAGTGGAACAACGAACAAGATTTCTTGGCATATGATGCAGTTGAAAGGTCTTTGCGCAGTTGGGCGATGTTTCCAGTTTGTTGAATTGGGACTCCTGAAATTGATCTTCGAAGTGGTGCTGCAGTTGAGAATTTAGTTGTGGGGCTGCTGGCCACATGCTACACCTTGGATTGCTTCGTGCCGGGCCCGAGATTGTTCAGAATCAGACGTCGGGTCATGGGAAGAAGCGGTTTCCGAGAGTTTGCGTGCTGGAGGTCACTGCTGCAGCCGGCGCTGCCAGCAGAGGCACTACGTGCGCAGCAGATCTGACAGTTGTGGCACACCTCATCCTCGCCCACGACACGTTAGTTAGGTTTGCCCCGCTCGCGCGCCCGGTTGTTTGGTTTTCTGACTCCTTTTGGTTGTTTGATCCGGTCGTCCATGATTTACCACCCGGCAGGCCAGCGAAAGTGTGGATAGCTCGTATAGGAGGACACAGACATGAATTGGAGCTCCTTGCAATTAATCACAGACGTACGTGAGACTGGATGAGGGCGGTAAGAGGGGAGGGCAGGGAGGGTGGGCAAAGCGGGAAGGGTGGCGGAGTGGGGAAGGTGCAGAAAACACGGGCACGCATCTGGAAGTACAGAAAGGGCCGTGCAGCATGGTGATCAGCATGGTGCTGACTGAAGTGGGCAGCTGACACACTGCAGGATGTGAAACGCGCTTGTGCTTTGCAATTTGTGTCGATCTTTTGAGGCGCTCGACTTGTTCGCGTACTCAAGGATGATTGTGGACTTACATCAGGATTTGCGCATACCGTGTCAAAGAATTGGCTCCGAATGCTCTTCATCAGATCTAACGCGCCTGTTTCGTCCTCCATGCTGTTTGTGCAGCACAGCACCGCGGAAGCATGCGGGTGTGGAGCAGGGGAGAAGAGAGCCACGTCAATCGTAGCCTAGTAACTGCCAGGCCGTCTTCTTCGACGTGATCTTCGATTTGCAAAGCTGCCATGATGGGCAAGTTTGTACGGAGGTGCGATGTGCACGTGGCCGACCAGTGGCGAAAACAGTGAATCTTCCCTGTAGATTCCGCCATTTTTGTACTTTCATGAAACTGATGTCCGGAGCAAGGGCTGCAAGTGCAGAGAGAAGGAGTCTGACGGACACTATTCCCAAGTTTAAGCCTGTGCTGGGTTCGAGCAAGGGCTTTGAGCATCGCCTCACCACATGCAGAAGCGGCCGCATGTCGCACGTCACCGCGTGTCAGCGCATGTTTGGCACAACATCGCATGCGAATGTAAATCCGCTGCATGACAGAAAGCAACATCGCTGTGCAAACGGACTGGCGTTCCGGTCTGCGGCGTACGAAGTCCACGGTCGGTGGGGCGGACCAGACTGGGTCACGACATTGTCGAGATCGAAAGAGATAAAGGATTTCTTGCTTGAGGTCGACAGTGTGGACTGTGATAAGTTTTTCAAACTCGAAACCTGGATTTCCGAATCCTACTAGGAAACTTTCCTGACAAAGAAGTAGCACAAATCATTCTTGAGTGCGGGTTGCGTAGAGAAGAAATGGGCCATAGAATATTGCAACGGTGGCATGTTCAACCTCATGCATATTCTTCGCGCATGTGTTCCTTGACATTCATCACCTTGCATGGACATACGTATGTCGCTATTGCGGCTTGTTGGGAAAGTGGGAACCTGAAGAATCAGTCAATGAAGCGTATGATGTAAAAAGCTTGTTCTCAGAGGTTTTCCTTCCAATGCTGTTGTTGTAAGTGTTGGAATTGGGGATGATGTCAATGAATGCAGAACTTGGAAGTCTGCAAGCACACTTTAGTCTTGTGTACTTCGGGGCATGGTCGACGAAATGACGGTGGATGCAATGCATTGGCTGCATACATTT